GATTCTGCAGATCTCAACATGGGTATGACTGCCAAGATTCCCAGGCCATGAGGATGCATTGTGACACCTCACACCACTTATACTAGAAAATCCCCAACAAAATAATCACTGAGATGACAACAATTTTTAAAACTCCCTGGCCTCTATCTAACTGGCTATTGTACTAGAAAAGTGGCAAATCCAAATTTGCCTGTATTAGAAAAAAACCTGTATTAGAAATAACCATTATTGACAATCTCCACATCTGAATGGACTGAACACTGATGATGTACTGCTGAGGGCTGGGCATTAGGCTTTCCTACCACTCAGATCTGTACTTACTGAACTTCAAAGGAAATCACACAACAAAATCCCCTTCCCTTCAAAGAAAGAAAATGAACACCTGGTGAGTAATAACTAGATGTTGAGTAGTATGTGTACCCTTTTCATCTCACAGTAACCTGGGATGCCTTTTTCCAGGACAGAAATCTGAGGCCCTGGGAAAACTATACTGTTCAAGATTCAGTTACCTGGTATAGTCTACACAGTATCCCAACATGTAGGAGACAGAGGTAGAAAGATGCTAAATTTGAGGCCAGACTGGCCTTAGCTAGTGCTGAAGCATGCTTCTCTGAATTGCTACATTCCCTCCAGATTGATATATTCCCTCTAGGAGGGAAGGAGACACCAGCCTCAGGGGGTAAGCAAAAGGTCACACATCTTGAGAACAAAATCTTGGAAGATTCCTGAGGGTCTCCTACCCAACAACATAAAAAAAAGTAAACAGTTGCTGGGTAGGGTGTGTGGGGGACGACAAAGCTCACCAGTCACACTGCTGAGAGAAGTTCAACTTTGGAGCTGTTCTACAGCTTCAGGGTTACAGGGTTCTGGGAGTAGTCACCAATCAGTGTTGACCTTCTGGTGGCCTTTCTGGTGATGCAGCTGCTTTTGAATTATCTCTGTGTCCTTGTAAATAACCCTCTACCCATACTCCTGTTAGTAACTCCAATAAAATACTCATTGACTCACCAAAGTGGACACTGATGCAGTCATTACTTTGGTCTGTTGTGGGTTCCCTTTCTGGGATGAACTAATGTGTGTGTCTAGTGACTCCTCAGAAGTATGTCACATAACACACAATGACACCTGTTGTGTGTGCTTGTGTGAGGAGCTAAAGCTGGGAGATCCGTACAGGTCTGCAGTTTTTTTTCTATATCACCCAGCACTACTGACACTAACAAAAGCTTTGTACCTAAGGAAGCTTCAGAGTCCAGGTGCACACACAGAATTCTGTTTCAGGACCTGTCCTATCTTGGTGAATTCTATTTGTGCTCCACCTCACCCCTCTCTTGTTTTCTCTTTGTTCCTAGAGGCTCACAGAATGCACTTCCCACTACTGATAGTTCCTACATGTCTTTTGGGCTCTCTATCCTGTCACATCTTTGTGTATCACATCCTTTAAAAAAACTATATCTACTTTTAGTGTGTGTGTGTGTGTGTGTGTGTGTTTGTATGTGGTGTATGTACATGTGTACATGTACGTGTGTTTGGGGACCATAATATACGAACTCAGGTGCTGGTTCTCGCCCTCCATCTTTTATGAGGCAAGTTCTCTTTTTGTTCACTGTTGCACAGGTCAGGCCAGCTGGCCCTCAGACCTCTAGGGTTTCTCCTGGCTCTGCCTCCATCTTGCTGTAGGACAGCTGGGATTACAGATATGTACCACCATCTCTCACGCTTGTGTGGTGACAGCTTTACCCACTGGGCCATCTCCCAGCCTCATTCATCAAATGTCACTTGAACCATATGACTGAACTTTGGTGGATTATTAAAGTGCTCCCAACAGAGACGATTCTTATTCTTTGCTGGATTTCCAGTAACCAACATATAACATTCAAAACATTTGCTCAGCTCAGGTCAGATTTGCACCCTCTTAAGCACCTTGGTGCTAATGAGACATTGTCGCTGGGCTGATTTTTGCCTCCGCCAGTCTATCTTACGTGCAAAGGCAGGAAGGTATGTACTCAAACTGATTGGCCTGGAAGCTCAGTGGGGAAACTGTAGGAGACAATCTGATACATAAGTGAGCTCTATGTGTCCTGGGAAGGACTAAGATTTGAAGAAAGCTGGGATTGCTCTAGTGACAGGGAGTCTGGTTGGAATGCAGCTGAATTTAGCAGGTCATTTTCTAAACAAACCAAAAATGACCATGATGACTTTGTCAAGAAGAGGGGTAGATAAAAAGAGCTTCCAAATAACTTCTAAAGAGTACTGGGGCTGGAGAAATGAGTGAGCAGTTGAGAGCACTTACTGCTCTTCCCGAGGACCTGACTTTGGTTCCCAGCACTCACGGTGGGGGAACCACAATCAGCTATAACTCCAATTCCAGGAAATCCAAAGTTTCTGGCCTCTGAGGGCACCCAAATTCATACACACACACATGAGACAAGGTTTCTCTGTGTAGCCCTGGCTATCCTAGAACTTGCTCTGTAGACAAAACTGGCCTCAACTCAGAGATCTGCCTGCCTCTGCCTCCTGAGTGCTGGGATTAAAGGTGTGTGCCACCACTGGCCTCTCCCCCCCAAAAAAAGTGTTAAAGAATACTTTTTAAGAACTAAATGCTGGGCAATAATGGTGCACGCCTTTAATCCCAGCACCTGGGAGGCAGAGGAAGGTGAATCTCTGTGACTTTGAGGCCAGCCTGGTCTACAGAACGAGTTTCAGGACAGCCAGGACTGTTTCACAGAGAAACCCTGTCTCCAAAAAACAAGCAAACAAACAAACAAAATCCCTAAAGACACTGTCTGTCTCACTGGTAATGGAAAGAATTGTAAAAGGGACATTCAAATATCTGTATCTGAACATGAAGCAAATTGAGCATAGAGTAGCAGACCTGTAATCACACCACGTGGGAGGCAGAAAAGTGTTGAAAGAAAAATATGCTTCAGCTGGCACATGGGGCATGCTCATCAAAATATGTGCCTGCAACCTAAGAGCTTTGCTGTACTAAGTTAACTGCAGCTAAAAAGTTTAAATTATAAATTGTCAATTTCTAAAACCTATGTACTTGAAAGTAGGCAAAGAATTTCTAATTTAAAATTCTGAAAAGGAAAAATAATAACACTACCTTTAAGAACACAAAAATACAGCAGCAATGAGGACAGTTGTAAGATTTCTCTAATTTCAACAGTCAAAACAAAATCTCATCAGTGGAGAATTTTAAAATGCTCAAAAGTGGGTGCAGATATTTGATTCTGGACTAGAATGAACACCCCATTCCTCTGATTTTTTGTTCATTTTCAAAGTGTGCTTGTGTCAAGAAAGGTTGGCTACCAACTGGCTTGATGCATTGGACACAGCTGCCTGTCTAACTGGTTTTATTTTCTTGAGACAGAGTCTCATGTTGGCCAGGCTAGCCTCAAACTCTCCAAACATGACCCTGAACTTCTGATCCTCCTTTCCTCCACCTCCCAAGTACTGGGATTACAGGCCTGCACCAACATGGTCCATTTATGTAGTGCTGGGAACCACACCTAGGGCTTGGAGCATGACAGACAAGCACTCCAGCAACAGAGCTACATCCCCAGCCCTTAGCATCGTTACTGTTTCCGGCTTCATTTCAAACATTAGTCAATGGTTTGAATCAAACAGTGGCAAAAATAACTCACGTGAAGTGAGCATTAGAAGTGGTTCCAAACTTCACGAAACCCAGTTTTCTGACCCACAGAAAGCTGTTCTCCTGACCTTGCATGATTTACTTCTTTTCAAGGAGTTTTACAGGAATGGCAATGTGACTCGGTGGCAGAGCCCTTGTCTAGTATGCACAGAGCCCCAGCACGGCAACAATCCAGCAAATAACAAAGCAGTAGGATAAGTTCAAAAGAAAACTCCACTGTACCAAAGTAATCTGAACAGCCCAATAAATTCTAACCATCAATAAGCTATTAGGATTTGGTAAGTTAACCAGCTGTCAGAAAGGTAACTAGCCCAATTATGAGCTCTGAGCTCTTGAGTGAACTGCTTGGGAACAATTCGATTTTCCTGGACCCTTAATACCTTGATGTATTGAAGGGTTCACAATGATTGCACCCTGTAGGAATTTGCCTTTTCTTACTCATAGTACACAGATTTCCCCACCGAGGTCGAGAGAAGAGGCCTGTCTACCCGAAAGCCAGACTAGGTGTAAGGGATCTTTTTTCTTTCTCCTCCCTCCTCTCTGTTATGGAGGAAGTCGAATTTATGGGGAAGGTGGGGATGAGCGTGAGACATAATGAAGAGATCTCAATGTGAAAGGTTGGAGAAGCTCTGTAACAGAGAAGACCCTAAGAACCTAAGGAAGCGGGAGTACCATGAATGGAATTCCTGGGAAGGAATCCGGCGCTGAAGGTAGAAGACTGGGGGATAGAAATGTAGAGGCGAGTGCTGTAGGATGAGAAAGGGCAAAGGAGATCCTATAGGCCAAGGATGTGAAAGGGTCCCAGTGGGAAAAGACCTCTGTGACAGGAAGACCTGAGTGGTGGCAACAACGGGGGGGGGGGGGGCAGAGCGGGGGGGTCGGGGGGAGGGGAGGAGAGGCGGATTCAAAGAACCAAGAATGGGACACTGGAAGGGATGAGCATCTAGGTGGTGGTGCGCGCCACCCAGGGCCAGTAACTTGACTCACTTTCTCCGCTGGACTTGCACTGCTTTGAACACATCTTCCCGCTTCAGCACCACGAAGTCGCCGTCATGGATGCAGTGGTCCCCGGGATGCGGATGCGGGGGCTGTGGGGCTGGCTGCTCCGCTGATGCCTCCATGGACGCCAGGCCGTATCCAAGCTCCGTCCCGGCTCCGGCCGCTAGCAGCACCACACACAACCAAGAAGAACCGGCCTCTCCGCCGGCACCGCCCCCACGTGCTGCGCGCCGCTTCCGCTTTCCGGTCCCGACCTCAGGGCGGCTTCCGGGAGCCTCGCGACTTCCGTCTATCTGAACTCTTTGATTGGCTACACTTCGTCCCGCCCTCCCGTTGCGTGGCCTCCTTGAGCGTCATAGACGCGCCAAAAAAGAACTCCGAAGGAACTCGGAGTTTAGCTTGCGGAGTTGTGCTCGGTTTTACCCGCTCCCCTTCTCGCGTTCCGGTGCGCCGCGACGCTGGCACCCCGGGCGGCCCGGGAGCCGGAGTGTCCGCGTAGCCCTGCGTGGCAGTGCGCGGGGCCCCGGGCGCGATCTGGGAGGACTCGAGGACTCCCGCAGTTAGGACGACGGGACGTGAATGAAGTCAGGGATTGTGGGTGGCGTTTCCTCGGGCTTACTTCCCTAAACATTTGTTGGAATTGCCCCCTTTCTCAGTATGTTATCCTGTTGGGTCGATGTGGAACGTAGTGTTGCGATGGAATGTCTCATCTTGAGGGTCTTGAAGACTTGAGTTTTTATCTCAGTGCTGTTACAAACAAGTGTAATTTTATGAGTTTGCTTATTTGCGAACGATTTATTAGCTAAGTCCTCTTAATATTAGCATAGGCTCTCCTAATGAATTTCACTGCAGTGTATGAATATATCATTAGTAGTTTGTATCAATGGGATAGGAATTTTTAGGTGGAATTGTTTTCTTTTAGAACAGTTTTAGGACAGCTTGCCACAGAAAATAATACAACGAAGATTGAGTTATGATATTTCCCTAGTATCATACAGGTGAGGATTATGTTCAGCTAGTATGGCCTAATAATAGTCTCCGACACTGCAAACAGGTTCAAGTTACTGTCTTTATTTATTTCTTGGTGGTTCTTTGAATACTGATGCTGAATAACGTCTGTAGTGTACCTTGAATCGTGATGGGGATTAAAAGAATACACAATACATAAGGTTTATACTGTAGCATGGAACTTTGTAAGCTTATGTGTTAGTCTCAAACACAGTATGTTAATTTCCCCCTTTTTACTACGTTAATCCATTTTAGGGGTGCTATTTACTTTTAGAAGACATGAGTGGTGCATACAGAGGGAGAGGTTTTGGACGGGGAAGATTCCAAAACTGGAAAAGAGGAAGAGGTGGTGGGAACTTCTCAGGAAGCTGGAGAGAAAGAGAACACAGAGCTGACCTCAGTAAAGCTGCAGGGAAGCACACTTCTGGTAAGTGCATTGAATGATCAGTTTGTTGTCTCTCATGAAAGAAACAGCTCAAGGGCCAGTAGATGGCTGAGTAGATAAGGGTGCCTGCCACCAAGCCTGATGACCCTCAGTTAGATCCCAAGGAACCCACATGATAGAAGGAGAGAACTGACTCCTTCAAGCTGTCATATGACCTCCACATGTACACAGTGGCATGTGTGAGCCCACACATGGACACAGGCTACACACACATAACAAATGTTAAAAAAAAAAAAAAAAGCAATTCATGCCTCGTAGACAGCAGGATATAGTTCTTATTGAAATATCCAATTTAGAATCTATTAATAGACTCTTGTAGAAGGAGACACTAGGGGGAAAACAGTGCTTTGCTTTTTACTAACATGATATTCTACTTTTTCAGAACAAACTTCACAACCTTTACTTCTACAGTCAACGTTGGACCAGTTTATGCCGTATAAGGGCTGGAAGCTTTACTTCTCTGAAGGTAGAGTTAAAGAGTTGAAAAGTACCATGAGTTATATATTCATCTCTGGATGCTACATTTCATGTTACCATGATTCGGTTGAATATCTGATGTGTGCCTTTTGCTCTTCCAAACATTTTGTTTGGAGCATTATTTTTATACATGTATCAGGAAAACAGAAACTGGTGAGTGTTTCAAGAAAGGATTTAGTACAAAGAATTAGCTATGCATATGGAAGACTCATAGCAGAAAGGGAACACTGAGGTGACCTCCCAGAAAGTGGTGGGTTCCGGACACAGCAGTCTGATCCCTGTGGCTGGGGGAGAGCAAAAATCAAAGACATTCCATGGTTATCAGGAGTTAGACACAGCAGAGGTGCCGCTTTAATCTCAGGGCACCCTCTAAAGCTCTGCGTTAGGACTTTGGAAGGCATTCTACTGTGTGCTCAGAACACAGATGCATGAAGCTGGTTGTTCTTAGTAACTGAGGACTCATCAGATGTTGCTTGGATCTATAGCTGTCCTGTGCAGCAGCAGAGATGCTGAAAAGAACTGGAGCAAGGCTGGAGAGGTGGCTCAGAAGTTAAGTATGCTTACTGTTCTTCTAGAGGACCTGAGCTTGGGTCCCAGAAGGAAGCTTGCTCTGAAACCCTCTGTTGGCGTCTGAGACACCTGTACATGTGACGTAACACTTAACACAGACATACACGTAAAAGTCAATCTTTTAAAAAATGAATAAAAATAAGAATAGTTTCTTTCAAACTTCTTGCCACCTTCCAGTCTTTACAGTGTATCCACTTGGCTGAACCTAAAGGTTGTCTGGGAACTTCGGCACAGATGTCAGTCAATGTCACAGCAGGAAACAGAGTAATAGGCTCGGACCAAGAGTTAGATGTCACTTGAGGTTTGTGTAGAAAAGAATACCATCTACTATCAGACATGTTTGTGAACTATGGAGGTGTTGCTCTTCTTATGGTATCTACATGTTCATTATATCTCTTATGAAGTGTGGTTTTTGTTCTTGTGTTTATTTATAGCTGTGTGTTTTTCCCCTCTAGTATACTATATTGCTTGTGGTCAACTTTCAGTATTCATTCTGTGAATGGATTCTTTCTTCCCCTCCCTATTAACTTGATAGATGTGTTTCACAGGAGATCCTTTATTCCTTGAGGATACATTGACCACCAACATTTTCATTATTGTCCTAGCACTTAGCCCAGAGCACCAAGTGACCTTTAGATTACTAAAGATGGAATTTAAGGGATACCTTCCTTAAAACTGAACAGCTGCATTTCACTAGACTGAATTAGCATTACAATTTTGAGATTACAATTAAGCATTGGTCTGTCTCCAGATCTTCGGAAATAATTAGACAAATGACAATATGAACAAGTAGAATTTACTTTGCAAAGAAAATGATTATGTTTAGCTCCATTCATGTGTATGGCTTTGCATTTATTATAATGTTTAATTTAAGTGTATTGTATAAGATATTTGAATTGATATACCCTTTGAGGAGTCTAAGACTCAGTAGAAAGTTTCTCAGATATTTGGACTTTTATGGATATTTCAGTTATTCAGACATCAGGTTTTTTTTTTTTCTAAAGAAACTCAAGTATTCATTCATACCAGTATTTATCCAAATGTAATCACAATGCAAACTAAGTAAGGGGAGAAAGTGTATGGTGTTTCTAGGGGTCTGTCTCAGGAAATACAAATGCTTCCATGTGTGATTATTGGTTCTAATGCTGTGTTTGTTGGCTTAGTTTACAGTAATAGCTCTCCTTTTATTGAGAAGATTCAAGCATTTGAGAAGTTTTTCACAAGGCATATCGACTTTTATGATAAGGTGAGTGCTTTCTACAACAACACGGACAGTCTGTCTCTATGTGACAGCTAACTGGACAGAATGTTTGAGGTGCTAGTGAGCATGAGCACTGGAGTTGGATGGGTGTCGTTTAGAGCCTGGCTCTACCTCTTACCAACAGTGTGGACCCAAGGGAATCACATTCTCTCCATTTTAGCTTTCTCGTTCTTGGAGATATTACTATAAATACCAATTTCAAAAGTTTGTTAAGTATGTATGTAAAAATATTTACAGTATTGCAGCTATGTAATAAAACTTAGAATTATTACTGTTTGATTATTTTATGCTTTCTCAAAGTGCATACTAAATGGTCAGCTATGATAATTGACTCAGAAAAGCAATTGTTATATTTAAATTTTAATCTTTTTATAGGATGAAATAGAAAGAAAGGGGAGCATTTTGGTGGATTTTAAAGAACTGACAAAAGATGATGAACTAACTAACTCGATACCAGATATAGAAAATGCACTAAGAGATACCCCTGAGAAAACCTTGGCGTGTATGGGCCTGGCAATACACCAGGTATGTCTGGCCAGCGTTTGAAATGGAGATGCCGTAGTGTCAGTCCTTTTTAATAGAACTTAAGGAGTTCAGACCTCCCCTAAGAGACAACAAGATCAGCCTACATACAGTTTACTTGAATCATTTAATCTTATTAAAGATACAGAAGTCGTACTTCCTTTGTGAGGAGGCCTCTGATTTAATATGAAATACCGAGCAAGCATGGTGTCTGGAACTTGGAGCAAAAGGACTGCCCTCAGGTGGAGTTTCTTTGGCATCAGGGAAGTCACTTATTTCCCTGCGGGTCCCCTGGGTAAACTGGAAGTAACAGTTGTTCTGTGCTTGCATCAGTTTTTCTCAGGGACAGAGGTCACAGCACCTAAAAGCACCCACAGAAGTGCTACAGGGTCAGGGAGCAGACCCAGGACAGGCACAGATGAGTGCTGCATGCCTTCAGAGGTGGGGCAGAATGGGAAAGCTCAGGGGAAGGTGTGGGCTTTGAGAGCTCTTGAAGGGATACAAAGAAGCTGGCCACGGCAGGGGAGGTCAGGACATGCAGCTGCAGTGGACACATCATCACACAGTTGTGCGCACCGCTGCGAGCCCTGCACTGGCAACCTTGCCTCTTACCTTCAGGCTCATCCAGTCCGTTATTTCTCTAGCCAGGTAACCACGGCACCCCTTTACCTCTCTAACATGCTCCTAATCACAATTCCTTTCCATCCTTCCTGCTCTGGCTTGGGCTGAGGCATGGCCTACAGAAATTTTTTTAGTGGAACCCAGTGGGTAATGGCTTTGAGGGTCGTTATTTTATTTTATGTGTATGAGTGTTTTCCCCACATATATGTGTATATTGTGTGTGACTAGTGCCCAAAGAGGTCAGAAAAGGGCATTGATTCCTCTAGACCTGGACTTATGGATAGTTCTGAGCCACCATGCAGGTGCTGGGAACTGAACCTCAGTCCTTTGCAAGAACAGCAACTGTTTTTAACTGCTAAGCCATCTCTCCAGCCCCTGCTGTAAGGACTTTTAATGTTAAGTTTATTTGGGACAGAAGGTAGGGATGCTGAAGTTTTCTGGTTCAGGTGCAAGAAGATCCCAAATAAAACAATCTACTGCAGAATATATGGTCATAACGAATTATCGGTCTTTTAACCGACTATCACAGTACTGTTTATTTTTTTCTGAGCTGTTCATGAACTTTGGGCTATCTATGGGAATTCTGCTTACAGAATATTTACTTTTCAATTGTCGACTAAAGGTATTAACCAAGGATCTTGAACAGCATGCCGCAGAATTACAAGCTCAAGAGGGATTGTCTAATGATGGAGAAACAATGGTAAATGTGCCACATATTTTTGCAAGGTGAGAAACTTGATGCTATTTTTTTCTTAACAATTTTTTGATTATTGTACAAACAAATGGGTTTCATTGTGAAATATTTATACATACATATATCATTATTTTGTTTTTACTTTCCTCCCATCCCCCACTGGCCTCACTTATTTCCCCTCTCAGCCTTTGCCAGGACCCCTTCCTCCCCTTAAATAGTCCCCACCTGAGAAACAGAGGCAAGCTTGTCTCTGTAGGGAGTCTTTCTATGTCCCACCAGCTGGCTCCCTTATAACCACACGAAGACGTATTACTAATTATGAAAGCTTGGCTGATAGCTTAGGCTTGTTTTTAGCTAGCTCCTATAACTTAAATTAACCCATTTTTATTAATCTATGTGCTGCCCCAAGGCTCATTTGCCTCATTTACATACTGTCCATCCTGCTTTCCTGCTTCTTCCTTGCGACTCTGCCCTTCTTCCCAGCATCCTCTGTGTCTGGAAGTCCTGCCTAGCTATTGGCCATTCATCTCTTTATTAAACCAGCCAGAGTGACACTTCTTCACAGTGTACATGTCTCAAAACAACAACAAAACAAAGCAAAGAGAGAGAAGTGGAAAAAAATTGAAAAAAGTTAGAAACCCCAAAGTCACTTTATCTATAGAATTTTCCTTTTGGAATTATTTTTCCTTTCTTCTTCTTCTTTGTTTGTTTGTTTGTTTGTTTGTTTATGTGTTTTGGTTTGGTTTGGTTTTGGTTTTTCAATACAGTTTCTCTGTTAGCCCTGACTGTTCTGGTACTCACTCTGTAGACCAGGCTGGCCTCGAACTCAGAGATCCACCTGCCCCTGACTCCTGGGTTCTGGTATTAAAGGCATGAGCCTCCATAGCGGCTTCCTTTTTCTTCTTTAATTATCTCCCTCCCACTTCTCCCTAGACGGCAACATATGGGATTTAGCATTTTTCATTTTTTTTTTTTTTTTTTTTGTTTTTCGAGACAGGGTTTCTCTGTGTAGCTTTGCGCCTTTCCTGGAACTCACTTGGTAGTCCAGGCTGGCCTCGAACTCACAGAGATCCGCCTGGCTCTGCCTCCCGAGTGCTGGGATTAAAGGCGTGCGCCACCACCGCCCGGCCAGCATTTTTCATTTTTAATAACATTTAACTCGTGAGATTTCTGGGACAAATTCTGTGGCTGCTCCCAAAGAAACTTGTGAAAATACAACTCTTTCTGTTCATTGTAAGTTTAGATAGGCACATTCTTGTTTTATTTTTAGAGTGTACAACTATGAGCCCTTAACACACCTCAAGAACGTCCGGGCAAACTGCTATGGAAAGTACATCTCCATAAGAGGGACCGTGGTTCGTGTCGGGAACATAAAGCCTCTTTGCACCAAGATGGCTTTTCGTTGTGCTGCATGTGGAGAGATTCAGAGTTTCCCTCTTCCAGATGGGAAATACAATCTTCCTACAAAGGTGATACGTCCTTTAACTGACTTTGCCTTTGATCTTCTTTAGAAAGGCACATCAGTTTACATTTTTTCCCAGTGTTTTTAGCTAGCTAAACATTTCCCAGTGTCTTTGAACAGAGCTGTCACAGAGCACATGGCCTTACATTTAGAGCTCAAACCCACAGGACTTTATTATTTCTCATGATTTCTTGGTTTAGAAGGCTGGAAGAACCCTCACCTGGGTAATTCTGCCTCTGTCTCTGTGGAGTTGCCATCACATGATGGCAAGAGCTGGTAGAGTGAGGTATCCTGGCTGAGCACCTTTCTTACGGACTGGTTTTGGCTTTTCACACATATGAGGGCAGTTCAGAGCTTGTTGTCTGCTCATGGCTGCTGACGGCTGTTGTGGAAAGAGATCAGTTGGTAGGCAGAATACTGCCTTTCGTAAGCCAGCCTTGCAAATCATGCTCCGTCACTCTGTCACAGTTGAGTGGAGTCAGTCACAGACTGCCCTGATTCCAGGGGAGGAAACTGACTCCGGCTCCCGATCAGGGAGTTAATACTGTTGCATAACTGCTACAGTGCCTTAAGTTTATAAATGCATCTTCAGCTTCAAACACCCAAAAAGTGACTTCAGAAGACTTGAACACAGTCTGCATATACAATGAGAATTACCAGTCAAGTCAAAGGGGGCTGGAGGAGAGCCGAGGGTTCATGAAAGTCCTTAACGAAAGACTTTTCAAAAGGAGAGGACTGAGTCAAAGCACATAGACTGAAGGAGAAGGGGCAGTCAGGGAGCCCAGGACTGGGAGAGTTCCTGGGCACAGAGGAAGGAATAAGTACCTGATACAGAGCTAATGGGGAGCTTTGGCTACTCACAGCAAAGCGTAAGTACAGAAAATGAGAAGGGTCAGCTAGAGAAGGACCAGGAATGACGTCTGAAGATTGTAACAAGAAGTGGGTGAGATTGTAACTTAGTACCGTAAGATGTGGCCATGGCTTACAGAAGCTGGGTGTCAATCTTGTGTTGCAGTGTCCTGTGCCCGCATGTCGAGGGAAGTCATTTGCTCCTTTGCGCAGCTCTCCCCTCACAGTCACAACGGACTGGCAGTTGATCAAGTAAGCACTCAGAACAGGAAGTAAAGAGGAGTTCTCATTCTGCTGAGAAAATCTATGGTTTTATTATGTGTATCGTAGCATTTGGTCTGCAAACAGTGCTTATTTGATGAGCCTGTGTTTTAAAATGATAATTATCTCTTTGAAATTGATTGGTTACTCGGTTCCAGAAAGGATGCAGCTATTACATCCCATAGCTACTGAGAAGTGGTTCATTTTGTGTTTAAATGTTGTGATTCGTTTCATATTCCATGATGGACTGTGATTAATATTGAAGTTTTAGATAATCACTTGAAACTGGGCTATTTTATGACATGTTCTCATTTTCTTTTCAGCATTTTATACCATTTACTGTTAGCTTATTTTGCTTTGTTTTACAAGTAAGACATTATTTCTATATATATTTTTCAAAGAAGATTTATTTTTATTTATGTGTAGTATGTCTACATGAATTTATGTCATGACTGTGTGAGTACCCGAGGAGGTCAGAAGAGGTACATCAGAAGCCAGAAGATTGGCATGGGATTGAACCCCCTGGGGCTGTAGTTACAGGCAGTTCATGAGTGTTGGGAACTGAACTTGGGTCCCCTGGTAGAGCAGTAAGTGCTCTTAACCATTGAGCCATCTCTCCAGGCTCCTCTTTTATGTATTTTTCATCTAGTCATTCCAGGTTTTTTGATTATATGTCCATGACAACCCCTCCCCCCAACAAAACAGTCTGACAGCTCCTCAAGTCTCTTTAGTTATTTTCCTGCTGTTAGTGGGAGGTCCAATGCTGTTCCCACTCTCCTTCCCTTTAGGGTGCTGGGCTCCCCGCCCCTTTTGTAATCTCGTCATTTGTGCAGTTAGGAAATGGTGAAGGGATAGTTAGTTGTCTTCATGCCCCTTGACACTTTTTGTCCCAAGTGTCTTTAGCTGTCCAGTGTACCATCCACTGCTTTCTGGACTTCCAGTCAGATGCATCCCTCACATTACCCATAGCCTGTGTTTGCCTTATCCTTCCAGTTTTCTGCATGCTTTCCAAATTGAGTTGGCTCTTTGTTGTATCTTCTCTAGAAATGTTTGCTTTTTATGTGCTTTGTTGTTATTGTGTTGAGACCAATTTTGTAACCCTTGTGTAACCTTGTACCCACAATTCTGTCTTAGCCTCTTGAGTACTGGGGTTACACACACACACACCACCCTGACTTACCCTGGTGATTTTAACTTAGTGATCTCATGCTTGTCCTCCCTCTGTTCCCATCTCAGAACACTTTTTATTTTTATTTTATGACATGCTCTTAGAGTCCTGTTTTTATTTTCTCTTCCTTGAATTATTGCCATTTCAGAGATCAGGTGAGAAATTGTTTGGAGAGGTGGGATCGTCTCTGCTGCTGTCTGTGGGTTGGAGTTCTTTCTCCTTGAGCCTTCTTCCTGAGTAAGATGGGAGTTCTGGTTACTCTGAGTGTTCTTGAATTGATTCGAGTGTCTTAATGCTGAACTGAGGAGGCTTTATTCTGGAGTTGAGATAGCCTCAGGGACATCTTAGCTCCCCTCTTAGAAGGAATTTGTCCATTTCTGTGGGATAGTGCTCTACTGCCTGATGGTAAATTCTCATTCTTTCCCTGCCTGATTGCCCACTCCTTCCAAAGAAATTCTAATCACTTACTTCTGTACTGTCTCTTGCTGCCCACCCCCGACTTTGAGGCTCTTGGGGCTCTGCCGGGAACTTAGGTTGCCACTTCTCTGTCCCCTTGTGAGCTTTGTCTGTGCGGTCTGGATGTCACCATGCTTCACCCATCACTCCTGTACGGTTTGCTCTTTTCAGAACTTTCACTAATGCCTCACTTGTTGACGCTAATTGTACATGCTCCAAACTTGTCTTCACTTCTGTGGTGAGTCTTACTTGTTGGATTCTTGAGGGATGCTAGGGAAATGAATGCGTATGTTCCTTCTGCCCTCCTGAATCAGAACTGCTGAAGTAATTTTTGAAATGCCATTGAACTCCTTAAAAACCAGTCTGCCTTCATGTAGAACAGCAGTGTGCAGATCCTGGAAAGTCACTGTGTTGAAGAGACAACTGAATGTAAGATGTGTCCTAACTGAAAACTGTTGAATGCCTTAGAATACAGGAGCTGATGTCTGACGCACAGAGAGAAGCGGGCCGGATCCCTCGAACAATAGAGTGTGAACTTGTTCATGATCTTGTAGATAGTTGTGTCCCAGGAGATACAGTGACTATTACTGGAATTGTCAAAGTCTCAAATACTGAAGAAGGTATGTTGTAACTTTCTTTATGACTGTTTCTCACCAGTGGTATGTTAGATGTTAGCTTTTTTCTCTGTGTAAGATACTTCTGCATCTCAAATAATTTAGGAATTCCTTGTTTCTATGTATGATGAAGTGTTCTAGTCCTCAGGAAGCTGTGGTAGAAGGATTGTCACAGTTTGAAGTTAGTCCTGAGGCCTTATCTCTAAAATGTCTCAAGTGAATGAGTAAATAAAGTCACTGAGTCATAAATCTTGTTTAACAGTCTAGTTGTTGTATAGAAAATAAAAACAATACATTTAATATTTTGGATTTTCAGGTTCTCGGAATAAGAATGATAAGTGCATGTTCCTTTTGTACATTGAAGCAAATTCTGTTAGCAATAGCAAAGGACAGACAGCACAGACTGCAGAGGACGGTTCTCAGCATGGGACGCTGATGGAGTTCTCACTTAAAGACCTGTATGCCATCCAAGAGATTCAGGCTGAAGAGAACCTGCTGAAGCTCCTAGTCAAGTACGTCTCAGTGACCCGAGCCTTTGTGTGGATATGCATGTCAGCAAGCTCTTGGTTACTTGTCAAATAGTCAAAACAGTCAGCAAACTTGAGTCCATAGGCCTCATGTAGCTCTCTGTCTTTTGTTCCAGGGCTTGTGAGGGCTTTTGTGTTTTTGAATGGTTAAAAAAAAAAATGGAGAGTACTTCAGACGAGATCGGGCGTGTTCAGGGTGGTATGGCTATAGACTGAAGAGTACTTCATTACACAAAATTATATGAAAGTCGGGTTTCAGTGTCCATAAATAAAGCTTTATTGGAACAGAACCACGTTCAGTCACTTACATGATATCCTAGCTGCCTTTGCACTGTGTGACAGAAGTGAATAGTAACAAGAAAAGATATTACACGGCAAGGGGTGTTTATACTTAGGCCTTTTTAGGAAAAATGATGCCTAGCGTAAGTGATGACTGTCTCACACAGAAGTCTGCTGTGTCGTTATTCATTTGTAATATACTCACCATACTTGATGTAGTATGCTTTTGGCATTCTGGCAATTTGGGGGTAATTTTGAAGAAATGAGGAAAATCAAGACACTACATAAAAGGTTACCTAGGAGAGGTGAAGGAAGGAGACTTGGAATGTGTTCCATGAAGAAATTGATCAAGGCTTTGGGCTCCAGAGTTGAGTCTTTCTTTCTGCTTTTTGTATGTCAGTTTGCCAACTGAGGAAAGTTTTGAGTTACTTGAGTTCTTGTCCTTAAACTCTTGGGGTTTCCCAGCCAGTAGCCGCCCTGACCTACTCTGGGAAGCTCGTGCTGTGATAGGGTTGGCATGTGTGAGCCACCTAGGAGTTGTCTGAGCAGGCGGGCAGTGCCCGGGAGCAGCCGGGTTGGGGCTCAGACACCTGCCGTTCCTCTTACGGCTGTAAGTGAGGCAGCCGCTTAGTGGCCCTTCGGCACCACTCACCAGTTCGCCTTCCTTCCCTTCTGTCTTCGTGTTTGTGACTTCATCATCCAAACTAAAGGTTTTCGAGGAATTCTCTTTCACTTTATTAATCTAGCAGATTGGCAGAGTAGGCAGGCTATTTTTTAGCAAGTTTTTAGTGAAACACACCACACCGGATTGATTGGCATGTTGTTAGTGGTTGCTTTCCCCACTACAAGTTGAGTGCTAGAGCCTGAGTCAGTACAGTCTACATCCTGGACCTCTAGTTTATTGACCAACACTAGATACCAAATGGAGGACCACAAACAGAGAAGATAGTATTCGAATTGTCAATATACAGCAAGTTAGGTTTTAGTTTAGATTCCTTTGGAAGCAGCAGTTTGGTTAAGTGTCATTTATTTGGGAGAAGAGCTCAGAAGTAGCAGGAAGGCAGGAGAAACACAGACAAGGGATGGCAGCCGGTCTGTGGTGCCCTGATGAGAATGCCTCCTGGGGACCTACAGTTGAGGAGCAGCCCAGCACTTCTGTCCTGCCCTGTGTCTACTGAGGATGCTTCTGTGGCCATAGAAAAGTCTGATAGGCAGGCACAGGTGCTTGGGAGGAAGCAGGTGGCAGTTAGACCAGCACGTGGTAAAGATTAGTTCAAGGGGCTCCGGGTTCTGTTTACATTTATTTAAACAGGAGGAAGATTAACACTTTTCTCCTGGCTACCCTGTCCATTTTGATTTGTTCCTTACAAAATGGACACATGCAAATACTGTGTGCATGTGTGCACATGCGTTATGTGGACATCAGGTGTTCCTTGTGTTTCTCTATTGCTAAGCATTTTACCCAGTCTCTCAGTGAACCTGGAGCTTAGAGGTTGGCTGGGCTGGGCAGTGAGCACCAGGGATCCTTCTGTCTCCACCTCCACAGTGCTAGGATCACAACTTTCCACTATACCTGTGGTGTTTTTGTTGTTTTGGGGGGGGCATTATTTGTTTGCTTCTTTTTTTCTTTTTTTTTTTTTTGAGACAGGGCTTCTCTGTGTAGCCCTGGCTGTCCTGGAACTCACTCTGTAGACCAGGCTGGCCTCAAACTCAGAGATTTGCCTGCCTCTGCCTCCTGAGTACTGGGATTAAAGGCATGTGCCCCCAGCACCCAGCTTATACTTGTTTTTTTAACATGGTTCAGGAGTCTGAAATCCTTAATCTTTTGCAGCCAACACTCTACAAGCTGAATCATCTCTCTAGCCCTTGTAGCGCTATTTCCTTGTATTCACATTTTTCATCTGACCCTTTTGAATTGAACTGAAAAGAAATGAAATTTTATACCACCTTAAAATACTAACCTTTGTGCTGAGCTCACTCATTAGTGTCCTTTTGGTAACTTGACTACACAGGTCTAAAGATATGTTCAAATAAAACAAGGAGTTCAGGAATGTGGGAAACCTGAAAATAGTGCATTTTAAGTGTTAATTCTGTAAGATCAGCTGTATATTGAGTTACTTTAAGATGTTTTGCAAGCACCCCCTCAGAGGTATGGATTTTAAAGTATTCTTCCCTTTATAGATTAAATAAGACTTTAATAAAGTTTACAGTAAGAATAAAACTTGAGGGGTTTACTTAGTGTTCCCTTTTGGACACTAAGTAAAGGAAATTAAGCAAATTGTAAAGTAGATCTTCTAATGGACCTATGAAATTTAAGTTAGAATTTATAAATTGTATTCTATTTTTCAGCTCACTTTGTCCTGTCATTTTTGGTCATGAAGTAAGTATATTACTTGACTTTCATTCCAAAAGCACATCATGTTGGCAATATTAATACGAAAAAGTAACGAGAGTCTCTTACCATATTAATATTTTAATATGAATCATCATTCTCTATAAGTTGATTATGTGGGAGGCAAATAATGGCCCCCTGGACCTGTCGACAGTTACTGGGAATGGACACCTATGGCAGATAGACAAAGTAATTAGACAGACACCAAGTTAAAGTAGGCTCCAATAGGTGCTTCTCACTTGGGAATGGATTGTTGCCATACAAAGTTGCTCTTAGCAATTTCTAAGATACCACTGATTTATATACTTTTAGTCTTCGTTTTTAATCATTTATGTTATAGAAGTTTGTTTCTAGATGTTTTTGTTTTTTGAGACATACCTGGCTTTGTTTCTTGACTTCATTGTAAAAATAATAATAATAAAGTTCAGTTATGTTTAAAAGTATCCTGGCTGGTGGTATAGCTTAGGGGTGGAGCATCTGACTAATTAGGCACCAAGCCTTGGGCTCCATCAGCACTGCGAAGGGGAAGTCTTCTCCAGACAGACAGGTCATGCTGTAACCCTGCAGGAATGCCTCTTGCTAGTCATCTTGATGTTTTTCTTTTTTGTTCTCTTCTTCCACACAAGCTTGTTAAAGCAGGTTTGATGTTAGCACTCTTTGGAGGTAGCCAGAAGTATGCAGATGACAAAAACAGGATTCCCATTCGAGGAGACCCACACATCCTGATTGTTGGAGATCCAGGCTTGGGAAAGAGTCAGATGCTGCAGGTAGAAAATCAATTATTTAGTATTTTGCCTTTTGCTTATATAATACATGAATAATTGGCAGGTGGGCATTTCTCAGCGCATAACATGTTTGGGTTGCAGAGGATCTAGTTTGTCTAGGGGTATAGAGGAATTGGAGTTTGTGTGAGTAATACGTTGTGTATCTGGCCCTATTTTCACATCAAGCTAGCTTCCTGCCACACGAACCACATAGGCATCCGGTTGTGGCGATATGAACTGATGAAATGCCATTTTTCTTCTGCCATTATTGCACCTAGTAATGCTTGGCTAGTCTATTGTGATGTGACTACAACAATGAACAGAATAGCAAAGGAAGTAAAGCTAGGTTGTGTATTCCTTCCATACAAGTACATAAGCATCTTGTTAGGGCTTCAGAATATTCTGGTAAAGGTAAGGGATCTCTGTATATCGCCACCATTTCTCTGAATCCAAAGCAAAACAACTTTCCTGACCAATCAGTTACTAGCCACCAAAGAAGATTCTGTCTGTCTCAGCCGGAGCCTGGCGGTGTGTCCCTCTTGGGTTCATGACTGCTCTAGAAGGTACTGTTTGTTAGAAAGCTTGTGCTTTTTTCAGAGTCATACCCAGCAGTGTCCTTCTTCAGGATGCCCCCAAACTCCCTCCTTCTTGCAGTCAGTCCTGTGCTGATGAATCTTTGTCTAGCAGTTGAGCGCTCTGGATGTATATCATAGTTGTCTTTGAAACTCTTTGAAGATAGGCAGCCTGCAGCTGGTGCTTATATATATGCAGTGCTCCTAGAGGTGGTCCTGATGTGAGACAGGACTGCTTTGATTTTGCCATTGCATTTTCATCCCCCCACCCTTCACATGTGTCATCTTTATTCCCTGTGGTTGAATATTAAACCAGTCTTTTTATTTTTTTTTAAGATTTATTTATTTTATTATGTATACAGAAGAGGGTGCCAGATCTCATTACAGATGGTTGTGAGCTGCCATGTGGGTGCTGGGAATTGAACTCAGGACCTCTGGAAGAGCAGTTGGTGCTCTTAACCTCTGAGCCATCTCTCCAGCCACTAAACCAGTCTTTTTAATTCCTTTAAAACATTGCATCCTTGTTTGGGTCTCTGGCCAGAAGAACCTACTTTAATCTGTTCTGAGCTCTTGCAACAGCCTGATATCTGTCTGAGGCAAGAATTACCTAGTTATAAATGAAACAAAGTTTATAGTAAAAGTGAAAGCAGAGGCTGAAGAGATGGCTCAGTGATTAAGAGCACTTGGTACTCTTGTAGAGGACCTGGATTTGGTTCCCAGTACCCATGTAGTAAATCACAACTGTGTCTGGTTCTAGTGGATATGACGCCCTCTTCTGGCCTCCACAAGCACTGCACACATGTAGTAAACAATACATTCATGTAAAACACACACACACTATATATATATAGTTTTTTTTTTTGAAATAGGGTTTCTTTGTTTAGCCCTGGCTGTCCTGGAACTCTCCTGGTAGACCATGCTGGCCTCGAACTCACAAAGATCCGCCTGCCTCTGCCTCTTGAGTGCTGGGATTAAAGGCATAAATAAATATTTTTAAAAAGGAAACGGTACATCCAGGGATCTGAACTGTTGAAGCTTTCTTCTGTAGTTCGTGGCATTCTGTGTTTGTATTTTTTGAATAGGTGTTTATAGGTAGAAGCCTGCTTTAACCTTCATGGTGTCTGATTGTATATATCTTAAAATTTTATTTATATGTGTTGTTCACAGTGTGAAACATTTTTTTTTCTGGCACTTTTTTTTATAACTTGGAAGTTCTTCTTGGTAAATAAACAGTTCCAGAATATATTTATTGGTCCTGAGAAAAATTTAATACCAAGCAATGACATTGTTAATTCTATTTTAAACCTAGAATGATGCTTTTAAAATCCTTGGTCAGGCTGGGGAGTTGACTCAGTGTCTAAGAGCAGCACCCATGTAAAAATCTGGGCATGGCTGCACATGCCTGTAACCCTCGGGCTGGTGGGGTCAACCCCAAGAGCTCACTGATCACAGTCTCGCTGATAATGGTAAACTTCTGGTTCAGTAAGCAGCTCTGTCTCAAAACAGTAGAGAGTGATGGAGGAAGACAGTGACCACACACACATACCCACAACACACACATATACCACCACCAACGAAAGTGGAGGGTGATAGAGAAGGACATCACACACACACACACTCATAAAACAATACAAACATTTTTAAAAAGCTGTAATATTAAAGTCCACATTTTTTTTAAAAATTAGACCAGCGCTATCAGGAACCACTTAACATTTATATTCCTACTTCCCTCTGAGCACTTAGTAATCTACCCTACTCTGCCTGTTTCCACTCCTGAAGCTCTGGGATTATGAATGTTACACCGCTTTGTCCAGCTTTTACAAGGGAGCTGGGCATCTGAACTTAGGTTCTCATGCTTCATGGCAACAAACCTGAATGATTCTTTTAAACCTTTTGTTTTTAATAGGCAGCATGCAATGTGGCGCCTCGTGGTGTGTATGTCTGTGGAAATACCACCACCAGCTCTGGGCTGACTGTAACTCTTTCAAAAGACAGTTCCTCTGGAGATTTTGCTTTGGAAGCTGGTGCCCTGGTACTTGGTGACCAAGGTGAGAGACAAAAAGGGATTAATAATTCTGGGGCTTAAAAACTTAAAAAACTTCAGCCAGGCAGTGTTGGTGCATGCCTTTGATCCCAGCACTCGGGAGGCAGAGGCAGGCAGATCTCTGTGAGTTCAAGGCCAGCCTGGTCTATAAAGCGAGTTCCAGGACAGCCAGGACTGTTACACAGATAAACTCCATCTCGAAAAACCCTAAAAGCAAAACAAAACAAAGCCAAACCCCTTTTTCTTGTTGAAGCAGTGGGCTTGCTGTGTAAGTCAGGTTCCCTCAGGAGGTAATCCTCCAGCCTCTGCCACCAAAGTGCTGGAGTTAGAGGCACTTGCCTCCCACCTAGGCTTAATTTCTTCCTTTCAGTGAATTTAGTTTGAGAGCCATTTAGACAGCACTGTCCTAACCAGTGGATTGACAGTGAGTGTCAAATAATAATTGAACATAGAGTGCTATCATTTTTATTTCTTTTATACAATTGAAGCTGGTTTGTTTTCACAATCTTACAGCAAATAGATGTCAAAGTTAAATAATCATAAAATATGGATGGTTTCTACACTTCCCACTTAATAACCCTGTCACATTTGTGGACATTTGTTTTGGAGTTTTATGGTAAGTTCCTGTGGAGTAGGAGTGGACTGTTCTGTGGACTACCTCGTTCCCATTGCTTAGTGTGTATGTGTACAGTGAGAACCCACCTGTTGAGCATTACTGCTACTTAGCTCAAAATCATTCTAGTTACCTTAAAACAGGAAAGAAGATGGATGCCATCTTGTGTTCTAGAAGAATTGCCCTAAGAATTTAGAGCTGTGACTTAGTTTTCTTTATTTAACTCCATCTTGGCCGCCTTCTGCGGCAGAATCTGTTCTCATTAACATGACCACCTTTCTTTCTAGCAGCTATCACCATGTTTCACTTGACTGCCTCTTGCTGGCCAGATAAAATGTAAGCTTCCCAAGGGCAAGGGGATTTTATCTTTGTGGTGCTATTCAGCATGCCTGGAACATGGCATCCGTGTACAACTGATAGTCAGCAAATATCTACTGAAGCAGATGTTCGTATGGTGCTCATCGGAAGTGGCAGTGCCTTTCCTAAGGTCTCAGGTGAAGGAAATAATGCAGATAAGGGCACTTAACTGTCAGGCTGCCAGGCTAACATTTGATAATTTTACATTCTAGAAACAAGTGGAAATAATCCCTGTGCAGTAACTTCTGCCTTACAAAAAGATGCTTTTGTCTGTTTTTCTCCTGTGCGTGTAGGCATTTGTGGAATAGACGAGTTTGATAAGATGGGGAACCAACATCAAGCCTTGTTAGAAGCCATGGAACAGCAGAGTATTAGCCTTGCTAAAGCTGGTGTGGTTTGCAGCCTCCCTGCAAGAACTTCCATTATTGCTGCTGCAAATCCAGTTGGAGGACACTACAATAAAGCCAAAACAGTTTCTGAGAATTTAAAGTAAGTCTCTGTGTGCTGTGAGTCAGTAAGGAAAAGATAATTGAGAATATTGGTGTGTAGCCATGGAAGTTACAGGTCTCCAGTAAATTTGCAGAAATGTGCTTAAGTCTTGAAAAACTGAGGTACCACAGAGAGCCTACTAGACTGGCAAAGGTTTTAGATGCAGTAATCAGTGTTAAGGAGTGAGAAAGAATCCTCACGTGCTCCACATGTTGAAACCTTGTATGATTGTGTACATTGTGTTTATTTTGGCCACTCTATGCTTAGGAAATCCTGATTGTAGTTAACAACTCCATAGACATGTTTGTAGGATGTGTATTGCAGCTTTATCACCATCAAAAATCAGAAATAGTTTAAACCTCAGTAAGACTGAACAGTGGGAAGCAGCAGTGAGAAGCAAGTGGCTTTGTAGACCCTGATAAAGGACCCTGTCTGCTTAGCTGGGTAAGAAGGCCATGTCATGGACTTTTCAAGAACAAGGTTTGCTTTGAGTTTGTGCTTCCTCTTTTTTTTTTTTTTTTTTCTCCTGAGACAGGGTTTCTCTGTGTAGCCTTGGCCTGGAAATTGCTCTGTAGACCAGGCTGGCCTTAAACTCACAGATTTCAGCCTGCCTTTGCCTCCCAAGTGCTAGGATTAAAAGTATGAACCACCATGCCTGGCTTGTGCTTCCTTTTCTAATTCATTTTGTGCAGGGGAACACAATGTGTATAAAAGAAAAACAGACTTAACTGATACAAATGAGAAGACAGTACCTCAGGAAAAACTAGGGCCTTATGTGTAGTTGGGGGCAGCTTGTTTCTTTCTCTTTTTAAATTTTCTTTTTTTTTTAAAGATTTATTTATTTTTATTTTATGTGTATTGGTGTTTTGCCTGTGTGTCAGAAGAGCACATTGGATCCCCATGGAACTGGAGTTACAGCTGGTTGTGATCTGCCTGTGGATGCTGAGCCATCTCTCCAACCCCTTCCCACCCCCTTGTTTTTGAGATGAGGAATCTCACTGTGTTGCTCAGTGCTGGTCCTAAATTCATGGCCTATCTTTGCTATCTTTTCTATCTTCTCTAGTCTTTAGACGCTACAGACATGTGATCCAGCAAATGTTACCAATTTATACATCTTGAGCCAGGTGTGGTGGCACACGCCCTTAATCCCAGCACTTTCAGGCAGAGGCAAGTGGATTTTCCATGAGTTCAAGGCCAGCCTCACTTGGCATAGTTAGACCCTATGTCAAAAAAACCTCCAAAATAAATAGATAAATAAAAATAGGGCTGGAGAGATGGCTCAGAGGTTAGGAGCACTGACTGCTCTTCCAGAGATCCTGAGTTCGATTCCCAGCAACCACATGGTGGCTCACAACCACCTAATGAGATCTGCTCCCTCTTCTGGTCATACATGCTGTATACATAATAAATAAATAAATCTTTAAAAATAAATAAATAAATAAATATAATAAATTTTTTTGCCAGGTGGTAGTGGTGCACACCTTTAATCCTAGCACTGTGCAGGCAGAGGCAGGTGGATCTCTGAGTTCAAGGCCAGTCTGGTCTACAGAGCTAGTTTCAGGACAGCTAGGGCTATACAGAGAAACCTTCTCTCGAAAAACCATAAATAAATAGTAATAATAAATTTAAGAAATGTATGCATCTAAAATAGAAATTGTTTGCAGTAAGGCTCGTTAAGGAAAGGAATGGCTCAGTTGCCTTTAGCCTACTGGGTATGGGGGGGGGGGGTTAGGACTTTGTTGGTCTTTTCCGTGTCGAACACACAGATTGCAAGCCCAGTGCCACTTTGAGATCTTTGGCAGCAGTTAACTCTGCAGCTCACACACGATTGAGCCTGTATGATAATAAGTATTCAGAGACGGGTAATACCTGGGGGGCTCTCACCAACCTAAGACAGAGCGCCTGTGTGACCTGGGCAGGCATCTCCATGACGGGTAAGGTGACCTGCTGACGTCCCACGCAACCTAAGTCAGAAGCTCATTTTTTAGTAAAAGGGGGACCTGTAGGGCCCTGGCCCCCGTTTTGGGTAACTGTTGTCTTGCTTGCTGACCTTGACCTTGATATCCTCCCTATGCTAATTCCCTGCCGGGTTCCACCCTCCTGAATGCTTAAACGAAGTTCCTTGTCTGTGTATCCTGCATAATGGGCGTTAACAGCTTAGATGCAAGATTGTAAAACATCGGTAGCGAACTTCTGCCCTCTGGGGTTCTCCCATTGTGCTGTATTTAAGACCTCCTCCCTCCTTCAATAAAGGACATTTGGGGGGAAAAATTTATACTGTATCAAGCTGATAATAGAAAAATAAATAATAAATAAAAATGAAAAAAATAAAAAAATTAAAAAAAAAATATTGTCAGGCCAGCAGGATCAATGGGTAAAACTTCAGTTCATAACCAAGTCCCGTAAGTTCCACATGTGCTTCATGGTATGCGTGCACATGCGCACAAAGAAAATATTTAAAAGTAAAAAATAAAACACAGTTGTGCTTGGAGATTTGGGGTGTCTTTATCCCTGCCTCCAACGAAGTCTTCTATTTGTGGATTTTCCTATAATGAAATTCTATATTATAAAGTCTGTATAATCTTGTTGAACAAAACCTACAGTGGACTTGGTTGTTTTTAGCATAAGCCTTCTTTGGTGGTTTCATCAAAATCTTTAAACACTTTAGATTGCTTTTTCTTTTTACAAATAGAAACTTCTCCTGATTGATGGGTTCGGTATGATGCCTAAATCTTTACTTTGTTATTTTTATGGGCGTATAGATGCTCTTTTTACAAAAGTAAGATTTTGCATTTAAGTGGAACATGAGTACTTGAGAGACAGTGTTTTGATGAGACAAGCTATAAAAGCAGGGCTGGAGAGATGGCGCAGCAATTAAGAGCACTTGTTGCTCTTGCAGAGGACCTGGGCTTGGATTCCAGCACTCACATAGCACCTCACAACCATCCTTAATTCCAGGTCCAGGGCATCCAACATTCTCTCCTGACTTCACAGTCACCGGGCACACCTCTGGTGCATAGACACATATGCAGGCAAAAGAGAAAACCACCGTAGAAAAGAGCTCTGAAGGCACTGATACCTGTGTGCAGATCTCAGTGGCTTTGCTGTATGGTGGGGGTTGGAACTTGTAGCTATACTGAAAGCTTATTTCCTTAACTGAAAGCTTGACTGTTGTTTATTACTAAACAGTTCCTTAGGTTTTTCTGTTTCCGTTCCAAACATTGCTGCTTCTTTCTTCCCTGCTTCCTAGGATGGGGAGTGCCCTACTGTCCAGATTCGATTTGGTCTTTATCTTGTTAGATACGCCGAATGAGCAGCATGACCACTTACTTTCTGAACACGTGATCGCAATCAGAGCTGGGAAGCAGAGAGCCGTCAGCGGTGCCACAGTCGCTCGTGCGCTTAGTCAGGATTCCAACGCTTCTGTACTGGAAGTGGTTTCTGAGAAGCCACTGTCAGAAAGACTAAAGGTACGCCTGTTTCTTAATCATTTAGTTTCATTCCATGATGCTTTGGAATCATCTAAACCAGTGGTTCTCAAACTGTGAGTCATGACCCCTTTGGGATTGGCTATCAGATATCCTGCATATCAGAAATTTACATTACAGTTCTTAACAGTAGCAAAATTAGTTATAAAGTAGCAATAAAATAATTTTATAGGGAGCGAGCGAGCCAGCTAGAGGCTGTTGGACGGCAGGAGCGGAGCAATGCCTAAATCAAAGGAACTTGTTTCTTCAAGCTCTTCAGGCAGTGATTCTGACAGCGAGGTTGAAAAAAAGTTAAAGAGGAAAAAGCAAGTTGTTCCAGAAAAACCTGTGAAGAAGCAGAAGCCTGGTGAGACTTCTAGAGCTTTGGCATCTTCCAAGCAGAGTAGCAGCAGCAGAGATGATAACATGTTTCAGATTGGGAAGATGAGATACGTCAGTGTTCGGGACTTTAAAGGAAAAATTCTAATTGATATTAGAGAATATTGGATGGACTCAGAAGGTGAAATGAAACCAGGGAGAAAAGGTATTTCTTTAAACATGGAGCAATGGAGCCAACTGAAGGAACAGATCTCGGACATAGATGATGCAGTAAGAAAACTGTAAAATCTGAGCCATATCAAACCTGTACTGTTGTAGTTGTTTTAATCTGTCTTTTTACATTGGCTTTTGTTTTCTAAATGTTGTTTTCCAAGCTGTTGTATATTTGGATTGCAGAACAATTTGTAAGGTGAATACTTTTTTTTAATGTGCATTATTAAAATGTTCTGAGTGAAGCTAAATGTCATCTTTATTAAAGAGAATTGCATTGTGCCCTCTACCTAGTGTAAAATAAAGTCAGATCATTACAATCTTAAAAAAAAAAAAAAAATAATTTTATAGTTGTCTCCACACATGAGGAACTATATTGAAGGGTCGCAGTATCAGGAAGGTTGAGAACCACTGTGCTAAGGCAATTGGCTTGAGAGCTGTGACCATAGTGTTTGGTTTATTTGGAGAGGCTTTTGGAACTTCTTTATTTACCTAAACAAGCTAACTTTTTTAGCTTTTTTTTTTTTTTAAATCCTACTCTAGGTGGCTCCTGGAGAGAAGACAGATCCGATTCCACATCAGCTGTTGAGGAAGTATGTTGGTTATGCACGGCGGTACGTCCACCCCAGGCTGTCCACAGAAGCTGCTCAGGCTCTTCAGGACTTCTACCTGGAGCTCCGCAAGCAGAGCCAGCGCATGAGCAGCTCACCCATCACCACCAGGCAGCTGGAGTCTTTGATCCGTCTGACAGAGGTTTGCATTTCCTACATTCATGCTTTTTGTGGCTGGAGGAAGAGGTGGGGAACTTAGCCTGATGACACAGCCTATAAGCTCAGTTACTCAGGATGCTGAGGCAGGAGGGTTGCAAACTGAAAGCCTGCCTGGACTACAGAGTGAGTCCAAGGCTAGACTAGGTTACTTAATATAAGACATGTCTCAAAAATCAACAGAGGAGTTCAGTGGTCTTGAGTGCTTGCTTAGCATGTGCAAGCCCTAGGTTCAGTCTCCAGTACTGTAAGAGAGGTTTCGTGTGTGAGTGCGTGCATGCGCGCGTGCATACATGCAGTACTGTAAGAGAGGTTGCGTGCGTGCGTGCGTGCGTGCGTGTGTGTGATGATCTCCTTTGATCAGTTTTGTCTAGGAGACATTAAAAATTTTTTAAAAAAGGATGAATAAAAGAGTTTTTAGAAGATTAAGTCACTTTTGTAACATCTCAAAACTACAGATTTCTTTCTAAATATAGGACCAGTTATGCCAAGCAATGTCAATTTTTTTTAATGACACTGTAGATTCCTGGAGTGTCTGAAAAATGGTTCGATTACCTAGAATCCTGGGCTTCCAAGTTGAGCATATGGGAACATGGAATATGTTGAGTATTTTGACTCGGTGATTTGATTGTGTGACAGGTCTGGAGGCATAGGCAGCCTTTCTAAGAGCAGCACTGTTTGTCACAATGTGTGGTGCTCCCAGTACTGCTGCAGTTAAAATTAGCTGCCACGAATGCTAAGGTTTTTTTGATCCTAAAATATGATTGACTCCTCCGGTATTTTAACTCAAATAAACTGATTTCCTGAAAATAAAAAGCAAGGACAAAAACATATCTTCATAACCAAACTTCATGAAATGAATACTCAGGAAAAAATGTTAATAGGTAAAAATGAATTTTGGCTGTATTTTAAACTATTTGTACACTTCTCTAATTTTTAAAGACATTTTTATTCTTTGAGAATTGCACACATGCATACAACATATTTTGGTCATACTCACTCCCAGCCTCCCCATACAATGAATAATTAAGCTTAGATACAACACACTTACATAGGTAATGGTGACAGTGTTTATCATTTATTGTAAAATAGTTGTTTTCTTTCATAGGCACGAGCAAGGTTAGAGTTGAGAGAGGAAGCAACTAAAGAAGATGCTGAAGATATAATTGAAATTATGAAACATAGGTAAGATTGATGCTGATTTTACATATATGGGGGGCAGTGCACACATGTGTGGACAACCGAAGTCAGTGTTTTCCTTCCTCCGTGTGTGTCCCAGGGATTGAACCGACATTGTCAGCCCTGGCAAACGCCTTCACCTGCTCAGTCATCTTGCTGGCCCTTTAGTTTTTATAGGACCTGTTTTTTCCCTTTCTCTTTTTCTTTCTCACCTCCCTACTCCCATCCTCACTCCCTCCTTCCCTTCCTCCTTTCTCCCTATCTCCTCCCCTCTCTGTCTTTCCTTCCTTCCTTTTGGTGTTTTTGATAGGTAATTTCTATTTCTTCAGGGTAAATCATATAGATAATGAATTTGCTTCATGTCAGAATCAGGGTGCTTTGCCAGTTCCTCTCTGACCCTGAATAACAGTTCTGTACAGTTGAACAAGGGTTTTATAGTCCAACTTCAGGCTGCCCCGACAAGTTACACCACAGTCCACAAGGTGGCTCGGTGCAGTGAAAGTATTTGGCATGCAAATCGGATGATTTGACTCCTGGAAACAATATAAACGTGGAAGGAGAGCCAGCTCCACAGAGTTGACTTCCACACTTTTGCCATGGCATGTGTACACACAATAATAATAGTGTTCTGTTACTGCTAATTAGTGCATGTTGGTGGACACTACTGTCTGCCAGATTTGATGATGTTAAAGGCTGCGTAGATCCCTCTTCCTCTGACTCATTCCATAAACTGAGATCAGATCTGTTGTGGGATATTTGTACACTGTGTGAAGATGTATTGCTGTGATTGGTGTAATAAAGAGCTGAATGGCCAATAGCTAGGCAGGGAAGGATGGGCAGGATTTCTGGGAAGAGAGAGGAAGAGGAGGAGGAATCTAGGCACACAGATTATGCTAGAGAGACACCAGGGAGATACTGAAGAGGTCAGACATACAGTACAGAGTAGAGGTAACCAAGCCATAGGGGAAGAACATAGATTAATAAAAGTAGCTTAATTTAAGTTATAAGAGCTAGTGGGAGAAGCCTAAGCTAATGGCTAAGCTTTCATAATTAATAAGAAGTCTCCATGTTGATATTTGTGAGCTGGTGGTCCCAATGAGAAATACTACTACACAGAACAGAAGTCACAAAGACGTTTTAGGGTCTAGCAGTCATACTGTTCTTGTAATTAATTGTTCGGGAGTGTGGTGCCAATGATTACTCTCTCCCTCTCCCAGTAGGGAGGCTTCACCTTGTTTTGCTTATGTTCACTATGGTTCTGGTCTACCTGTGGTTTCTTCCCTCTGCTTATGGGTAGAAGGGCACCCTGCTGTCCCCTAAAGTTGAGCAATAATCTGCAGCCTGTTCTCTGCTTTTATAGGCAGTCTGTGGAAGAGAACCTTCTCTTTAATTCAGTTTGTCAGCAACAATGGGAAAGAATAGTTTGATCAAGTGGTTAGGATTACGTAGCGTTATCAGAGATTGAGAGCTGTCTAAACACATCAAGTTCAGATTTGTTAGACTAACATGCTTTCTTGGTCTATGAGAGCAAGGACCTTATCGTGTTTACCAGCGTCTTTCCAGGGCCCACAATCATGGCTAGCATGTGATATTAAACATACTTCATTAATTCATTAATTAAAGTACATTCTTTAAAAAGTTTGCCCTTTTATAGTTCCTATCTCTTCTGCTTTATTGAAACCACCATTAATGTGTTATCCTGTGAAATTACATTTTTAACTGGGAAGCAGAAGCCTGAACAAGAAAAATCTGAACCATGACATAATTCATCTGAGTTATCATAGTACAGAGTTGGACATTTTTTGAAAAGTAAATGTTATTATTTAGTAAACAGTTTATGTGAGTAGTCTTACACAATTAAAAATATTCTACAAAGAGTAGAGAGACTAGGTTGCTGTGAGATTTTCCACTTCAGGGGTTTATATCAAATATTTTACCTATCTTTTTTTCAAATGGAAGCAAGGAAGCATGGATTAAAATCCAGGTGTCATTCATTAGTAGTGTAACATTTGGAAAGTCATTTATCCTTACTTGCCAAAACCATCTTCATCTGTAAAATGGAATAAGGATAATTCCCAAGGTTTGGGTTACTAGGAGGATGCCTGTGTTAAACAAGTATAATTACTATGTCAGTAACTCAAGGCATTTCTGACAACAAAGGAATGTTAATTTACTACATCATTCAGGTGGATTAAACTTGAAGGTAGTAAATAATGTGCACTATTCTGTCATGTGCTCCTGTCTCACTTAAATGATGCACATTTCTGTTTGCACAGTTTCTTACCTATTCAAGGAACAGATTGTGACCTTTCAAGATCATTCCTAAGGACTCCTTAAGAATGAAGAGTGATTAGTTAGATTTGTTTACCGCCCTGAGCCCACTTCCTGACAGGTCACCAATACTTATCTGATAATTGCTGAGTGAAAAACTTCACCTGTTAAACTGGCTATGGGATTTTATGTGTCCCGTTGTACAGATGGAATCAGCAGTAGAGCTGGATTACAGGGTGGTTGATTCCATTTGTAATGGGTGTTTGCAGACTCTAGCCAAACTCAGGTCAGATGCCTATTTCCATCTTTTTGGTTTTTCGAGACAGGGTTTCTCTGTATAGCTTTGCACCTTTCCTGGAACTCACTTGGTAGCCCAGGCTGGCCTCGAACTCACAGAGATCCACCTGGCTCAGCCTCCCGAGTGCTGGGATTAAAGGCGTGTGCCATCGCCCGGCCTATTTCCATCTTTTGATGATACTGTAAAAATAAGAGAAAACAGAAGAGAAGTGGGGCTAGTGTCTGACTGCCATCCCTGCAAGTCAGCTGAGCTGAGTTCATTCCTAGAGTATTTATTTTTAAGATTTTTTTTTATAGGTATATGTAGACAGACTTTTCTGTCCCACCAGTCAGTTCCCAAATAACTACACAGAGATTTATTATTAAATGCTCAGCTGATAGCTCAGGCTTGTTACTAACTAGTTCTTATAACTTAAATTAACCCATATTTCTTAATCTATGCTCTGCCGCATGACAGTTTCTCTGTATAGCTTTGGAGGCTGTCCTAGATCTCACTTTGTAGACCAGGCTGGACTCAAACTCACAAAGATTCGCCTGGCTTTGCCTCCCGAGTGCTGGGATTAAAGGCGTGTGCCACCACCGCCCGGCGACAGTACCTTTTTTCAACAGGACAGTTTCATCTTGTTTCTCTCTGTGTCTACTTGCAACTCCTGAGACTCCTGAGACTCCTCTTTTTTCTTCTTTGTGCTCTGTTTTCGTCTGTAAGTCCCACCTAACCTCTACCTGTCCAGCTATTGGCCAGTCAGCTAAAGAGAGTAATACAGTTATCCAATGAGAGTAATACATATTTACAGTGTACAAAGATTTACCTGCACATATCTCTGTACCATGAATACAGTGCCTTCAGAGGCCAGAAGAGAGAATGGAATCCCATGGAGTTACAGGTGCTTGTGAACTGCCATGTGGGTGCTCTTAAACCTGGGTCCTCTGCAAGAGCACCCTGTGATCTTAACCATTTCTCCAGCTCTCCTAGAGTATTTTTAAACATCTTTTCTTTGTAGTTGCTGTGGTAGTTAATAACATGTTTACCTGGGAAAGCCAAAAATATTCTGTTCAGAAATTTTAGTTTCATTAATCAGTAAGAATGTTTTTGATGTTTGTAATATTGTTTTTCAACTCTACATTTTTGCATTTCTTGTTTGCAAATTTGTTTTGGTGTTTTGAAATATGATCTCCTTCCTTTGCCCTACCTGGCCTGATACTTATTATGTATTTCAGGCTGTTTTTAAACTCAAAGAAGTTTTGTACCTTAGCTCCTGAGCACTGGGATTACCGGAATGTACAACCACTCCTACCTAAAAGTTTTTTTTTTTTTTTTAAGGCAATAATTGTGTTCAAAATATATTTATGTCAATATATATCATATTGAATTTCAAAGTAGCTAAGTAAATCTCACAGTCATTCCCAGACTTCTATTATGACTTGGAACCCAGTCCAAAAATGTCTGTAGCCATGCCACATGAGATAATCCTTTCTTCTCCATCCTTAAGCATGCTAGGAACTTACTCAGATGAATTTGGGAACCTGGATTTTGAGCGATCCCAGCACGGCTCTGGAATGAGCAACAGGTCAACAGCAAAAAGATTTATTTCGGCTCTCAACAGCATTGCTGAAAGAACTTATAATAATATATTTCAATTCCATCAACTTCGTCAGATTTCCAAAGAACTAAACATTCAGGTACGATAACCTAAATACTTACCAGTTTTTGGTAATAATTTCAGAGGGCCCTTAGTAATAGAACAAAACCCGTTTGTTTTTCAAGTCAGTTTCTCTTGGAAACTGGAGTTCTCTGGAACTCTGTAGACCAGACTGGCCTTAAACTCAAGAGATCCACCTGCCTTTGCCTCCCAAGTGCTGGGATTAATGGTAAGTGAAACCATACCCAGCAAACAAAACCACTTTTTAATTTTAAGATTTTTTTTTTGTTACTTCTCAAAGGTTTTTGGCATTTTGATAGAGAGACTTTTCTAGGAAGACTTGGGCTCCGTCTTTTCCTGGCTGTCCTGTGCTAGTCAGAGGGTTGACTCTGATTTCTCATTTGTTGAATTATTGTGATCCCACCTGCTCCTACTTCAGAGTTCTAATGGAAGCTTAGATGTAAGGTCATGCAATTTCAAAAGCTAGTCTAAGTTGGGTTTTGGTTAAGACAAAGGATTCTTTACTCTTTGGAGTGTTTGGGAAACTTGTTGGTGTATGTCTGTTTAGAGATTGATGTGAAAGTCTTATTTGGCATGTTACTGAATGGGCTGACTTTGGATGTTTGCTTCTAGGTTGCTGATTTTGAAAACTTCATTGGATCACTGAATGACCAGGGTTACCTCTTAAAAAAAGGTCCAAAGATTTACCAGCTTCAAACTATGTGACAGACTTACCAAGTCAGAGCCACCTGTGGTTTATTAATAGCTCAAAATGATCTTAATTACAAAAACTGAAAATGAAAGTTCTGAAAAATGACACACAACTCTTGTAACAGAAGAAAGTGTTAGTTATGATCAGCTAAGAAGTGGTGAAGTTGTACATTAATAATCCATAATTTATCCAGAAGGCTAAAAGTAATTTAGTTATATTATTTTATCTAAATAACATAAACATTATTTATACTTGTCATAATTTTATTAGTGTTTCATAGTTTTGTATATCAGGTGTCTATCAGGCATTCAGGTAATACATAAACAAATGAGTATGTGTTCTGGTGAAAGTTTATTTACATTAAACTTTGAAATGTTTAAGTCACAAATAAAACTATTTGCTTCTAACCTTTATGGTTATGGGCAGTGGATCTGACTTCTCATTGGAAGTAGTAGAAATTTGTTGACTTAAGCAGAAGTCCTTTCTGGAAAATACTTATTTACAGAATCGTATGAAGGCTGATGACTGAAACAAAGAAGAAAATCTTGCAGGAGTAGTTTGTAAAACTAGCCTGCTGCCACGGTGTCTACAGCGCTCCTGCTTCTGCCTCATGGCTGCCATTCCTGCACTGAGAACTGCCTCTGCAGAAAGAAGGTGGCAGCAGCAAAGGACGCTCTTCATCCGGCCTCCTAAGAGAAAGCCGAACAAGGAACGTCGGTTTGAAAAGCTGGATTACGTTCTGGGGAGTTTCCTGAGGTCTGCTTCAAGGGGGCAGGACCCATTAAGTCAGAATCCACCATATTTTGTGAGAGGCTTCAAGTGGAACTGGACCTCTGGCTAAAACATCCTTCATATCTATAACCAACAAACACTTTAGCATATAAGCACTCAGGCATTGTCAGCCACTGATTGGAAATAAACTACACTTCCGGGAAACCGGATGGATGAAAAATTGAAAAACAAAATGTAAGTGGATTTTTCTGTCCTGCCAGCCAGCACCCAAATAAATGACATGGAGACTTGTTATTATGAAAGCTCGACCAATAGTTTAGCCTTGCTTCTAACTAGCTCTTATAACTTAAATTAACCCATTTCTATTCATTTACTTTCTGCCTCGTGGCTTTATTACCTCATCTCTGTAGTACCCATCCTGCTTGCTCTACATCTCCTCATGACTCCTGCCTTCTTCCCAGTGTTCTCTCTGCCCTGAACATCCTGCCTCGCTATTGGCTGTTCAGCTTTTTATGAAACCAATCACAGTTACAGATCTTTACACGGTGTAAAGGAGTATCCCACAGCAACAAAACATACCCAAGGATCGGCTTGGAGAAATGGCTTAGTTGGTGAAGCTTGACGTGCAAGCATGAGAACCGATCCTCGTGTAAAGCCAAGAGGATTTGTAACCCTGACACTGGGTGGGGTAGGACAGGCAGATCCCTGAAGCTCACTAGCCAGCCTGAACTAGGGAGCTCCAGTTCATAAATACACCCAGTCTCAAAAAAGTAAGGTGAGGTCACTCAGCATCAACTTCTCCCCCCCACCCCTGAACACCTACATACATACACAAAAATGGCAGTGTATATTGAGTAGCCAAAATAAAACAAATATTCATATTTTACAATGGACATTTAACCAATAGTACATCCAAAATGGAAATGAAATGTGGGATAATAAAAATATTAAAGCCTGACTTGAAGGAAGCAAATGGTAGCTGTTAGTATAAATATAATAAGGTAGTGAATTGAACCTGGGACACTGAATTGTATCTGCAGCTCAATATGGTGATGTCTGCCTTTAAAGGATTTTTTTCTCTGTTTCTTGGGGGAGGGCGTCGGTGGGTGGCCACAGTGTTCTTGTGTAGTCCTGAGAAGTGAAGTCAGTTGATGGGATTTAGTTGCAAACACCTTCATCAGTGGAGCCTTCTCATCAGCTGCTGCTTTGTTTTTCAACACAGGATTTCTGTGTCTAACAGCCCTGGCTGTCCTGGAACTCACAGAGCTGCCTGCCTCAGCCTCCCAAGTGCTGGGATTAAAGGCGTGTACCACACCTTGCCCAGCCTAGAGTGTTCAAGGGCAAGAAGAGCTGATAATCTGTTCCTAGAGCTAAAAGTCTGCTTCAGAAGTCAGTGCATAGCAGCTTTTCATGAAGGAGAAAGATGAAATGCGTAATCAAAGAAGATGGGCCATCAGACCATTATATCTAAGGTTAAGACTATTAAATAAGGGCTGTAAGCCTAATTATGAGAAGCTGCTGAATGTTTTCTTATATTCTGTGTTTGTTTATTTGGTAGCTGTTGTCACAGGACCAGACTAACAGCTAAAAGTCAGGTAGTTGTAGCGCACACCTTTAATTCCAGCACGTAGGAGGCAGAGGCAGGTGGGTATCTTGAGTTTGAGGCTAGCCTGGTTTATGTAGTGAGTTCCAGGACAGCCTGGGCCACACAGAGAAACCCTGTCTCGAAAAACTGGATAAGTAAACAAATAGCTAAAGCTGTTTACATCTTCTGGCCGTCCAGCTTTTGTAACTCCAAAGAAATAATTCCAAGCCCTCCCAGCCCAAACCCCATTTGTTTCATCTGCTCGCCACCTATCAGCATCTCACTGCAGAGGCTCTGGTCTCTGCTTTTTCTCCCTACCTTCTGCCCACTTCTCACCAGTGTTACCCAAAGTTCCTGATAAACAGATGAGTGGTTCTAATGGTGGTTTAAAAATAAAGTCAACATTGTTAAGATAATACTTTTAGATTTTTCTCTTAATGGATTTTTTAACATGTATGGATTTTTAAAGATTTTCTTAATGTTCAATGTTTTGTCTGAATATATGTCTGCACTATGTGTGTGCCTGGTTCCCACGGAGGACAAAGAGGGAATCAGATGCCCTGGAACTAGAGTTAGGTTGAGAACCACCATGTGAGTGCTAGGAATCCAACCTGGGTCTTCTGAAGAGCAGCCAGTGCTCTTAACCACTGAGCCATTTCTGTGGTCCCTAGATTTTTCTCTTAATGGCAGTGTTCCAATGGGTGTACAAGAAATTAAAGATAGTTGGGCATGGTAGTGCAGGCCGTTAATCCCAGAGTCAGGCAGATCTCTGAGTGCAAGCCCAACCTGGTCCACAAAGCAAGTTCCAGGCCAGTCAGGGCCACACAAAGAGATCCTGTCAAAACAAACAAACAAACAAATAAAGTGATCTTGATAAAACGCTCCTCATAAATAAATAAATAAATAAATAAATAAATAAATAAATAAATAAGGTGATCTTGATAAAATGCGCCTCAAGTTTATAATCGTCAAATTTAATTTGAGCCTTAAGAACAACCTTAGGTGATTATATGCTTTCACAGACTGGACTTGAGGATAGTGGAAAGACTGTGAACAGTCCATTCCCCCGGTTTGACAGAACTTGGTGCCCTTCCACTGGTACCTTGCCTGGGAAGGCCCTGGGTTCAAGCCCAACACTGTAACAAAAGGTAGGCACATGTTTGTTAGGTTAGAAAGCCAATGTACCAGTAATGTGTAACTTAAAACAACAGGTTCATTGTTAGAAGATTTGTTCCTAGTTTGGATTTCTTAAGAATAAACAAGTTTCTGCAGGTTGGAGAGATGGTTCAGTGGTTAATAGCACTGACTGCTCTTCCAGAGGACTCGGGTTCAATTCCCAGCACCCACATGGCACCTCAAACATCCTGTAACTCCAGTTCCAGGGGATCTGACATGTATATGAGCAGACATACACGCAGGCAAAACACCATTGTACATAAAATAAAAATAAATTTTTAAAAACTTTACAAAAAAGAATAAAATTTCTTCTGTGCACCTATTTCCATACCTATAAAAGTAAAGGCAATAAGAAAAACCTATGTTAGAGTTGTTGATAGGATTAAATGCCCAATAGCTTATACAGTGAACACTTTTTCCAAGTAAAGAGTGATTGGTATTGACATTTTTCATTGCTGCCTTGGACCTATTCATAATGCATTTAGTGCTCAAAAAACAGGATGGGTAGTTAATACTTTCATTCCAACACTAATGCTTTAAAACCTGCTAGCCACTTGGCCACTTGGCAGCAGACGGTCTGGGGCGGGAGCCTGAGATGACTGGCTTCCTGTGGCCACGTGGCACTCTCTCACGGTCTACCCTCCCTGTCATTCTGCTTAGCCTGCGGGCGAACGAGCCGCACCGCGCAGGAGCCCGCCTGGCCTTGGCTACACGTGTTTGCCGCTGCCGCCCGAGGGCGCTGGAGAGCCGAGCTGCTGGGTGTCGTGAAAGTGTCGTGAAAGCGGCCTTCCTTGACGGTTCGGGGCCACCCGTATAAGTGGGACGTGCCCGAGTGTGGAAATTAGTATGGAGGCATCCTTGCGGCCTCGGCGTTGCCGGACATCTGTGGAGAAGCAGGCGGCCGGGTGCTGAGCTCTCGACACTCGGAGTCCGCGGCGGCCGCAAGGCCATGCTGGCTTGGCGCGTGGCGCGCGGCGCGTGGGGGCCCCTTCGCGTGGCCGGCCGGCCGCCGGGGGCGCGGCTCGGCAGGGGCGGCTCCCGCAGGGCCCTGCTGCCGCCCGCGGCCTGCTGCCTGGGCTGCCTGGCCGAGCGCTGGCGGCTGCGCCCGGCCGCGTTCGCCTTGCGGCTGCCCGGCGCCGGCCCGCGGAACCACTGCTCGGGCGCGGGGAAGGCGGCCCCGGAGTCCGCGGCCGGAGGAGGCGCTACCGCGCAGGCCCCGGGCGCCCGCTGGGTCCCGGCGAGCGCCGCCAGCCCGGTACGTACGAGGGTCGGCGGGGCGCCGGGAGGCAGGTGACGGGCTCGGCGCTCTGTCGCGACACTCAGCCGGTGTTCTGGGAAGTTACGGGCAGGCGGGGCGTTCGGTCGCCGTGAAGTTCGGGGAGCCCCCAGCCGGGTACGGTCTCTGGCCAAATTAGAATCCACTCTAATTCCCTTCTGTCCACATCCGTTGTTGGAAGGTGTGTCTGTCTGCACGTTGCATTGGTCAAAATAGCTGTCGCACGTCTAGTTATAAATCTGTTTTTAATTTTTCGAAGTGAATCTTCAGTGTATAGGGTAAGTTCGGAGGCATCTGAAGAGCGGCCCGTCTGTTCGCTTGTGCAGATTTGGTTCATCATCCTTTGGCCTTTGGTCATCGTATACAATAACACGGAGGACAGTTATTTAGCTTAGGTTGTAATTAAAAGATCTTTCAACTTTGTATTATAGAAACTTAAGACTACTCTTGAGGTAACAGAAGGTGCTCAAATGACTTCCCAGGCAGGAGACGCCAGAGCATGAGTGTGGCACAGCTTTTGATGTCATGGTGGCAAAGCTCATGCAATTATTACATCTTCAATTGTTAGGTCTTCAGAGGCCCCTGTACTGCTCTGCTTTCCTCAGTTACACAGCATGGGCTGAGGTGGCCACACCCCGGCAGGGGTCTCAACTTCAGGAATAGCTTTAAAGCCTGTTGGAGCTTGAACGCTGGATGCTTTGAAGTTGCCCTCAACCTGGCTGAAGCCCTTCCCAGCACAGTTGGCCGAGTATGCCACAGGTTATCTGGTTGGGTAATCTGAGATTAAGTTCCCAGTGTTGACTTTTACAGATGTAATAACTAGATATGGGTGAACTTTTGTGTAGGGCTCCGGCCCCTTCGCTGGCCCAGTAACTTACTATCCAGTTGTAATTGTGTGTTTGCCACGTGACGGTGCTTGCAGCTCTCGACTTAGTCTTGCCCCCCGTGGGCACATCAGACTAACTTTGAAGTTCTCCATTCCTGGCTCTTGCTTTGTATCGCATCTCCTCAACCACGGGCTACCTTTCCCCCTTCCCAGCCTTTGTGAATTGCTGTGGTATTGGATCAGTGTTTGACTGACTTTGTACCACAGTGTGGTCAACAGGCTTGTCCTCCTTACATGCACGAAGGTTGGGACAGCGTCCCCGATCTGTTTCACCAGCCTGACACTTTTCCTAAGTTTCAGAAACGTTCTGATCTTTTGAACCTGTGTGTAAATGAGCCTGTTTTCATACAACTTTATAATGTGGTCCTCCTTTGAATAGAAGATTCCAGAGGAGAGGGCTGTATTGCTTCTGATTTGGTGTAGTAGAATTTGAAGTTCTACAATTTTCAGTGACCGTATTCTCTCACCTGACTCCAACCACCACCCCATTATCTCTCTACACTGGTATGCTTTCTGTTGGGTTCTATTTATAAAATAAATACCTTTTCTTAGGAGCTAGGTGGCTCATGAGACTTTAAGATATCTTGAGAAGTGAACATTGCCCCTTTTTCCCTTTGGTGCGAGTATGCATACTTGCTAAAACACATACAAGTGGACACATGGAGTGTCTGCTCTCAGGTTGTCAGAGTTGGCAGCAAGTATCCACACCTGCTGAGCTCACCAGCCTGCCTCTTTTTTTTTTTTTTTTTTTTCTAAAAAGGTTAAGGTTCAGGTGAATTGGTTACTGATTTAAAAAGATGTTAAAATGGTTCTTTGAAGACAAAGTCCAGTGGGGTGGAATCAGCTGTCTGGACTACTGAGAAGCAGTTCAGGCTCCAGGGAAAGACATCTTCTTGGTGTTTTCAGCTTTGCTGGGCTGAAGAGTTTGAAAGTTGAAGTGCTCTCATGAATTTTCTGTTTGGCAAAGAAGGATTGTCCTTCAGGGCAGCTGCCAAGGAGCCTTTTGTCAGTGCCAGTTTCTAACAGCTGGGCTCCAAGTGAAGTTTCAAAGAACCAAAACTCCCAAGTGGGAGCTGTGAACACCCCCAGTTCTTTACTTGAGGGAGAAGAAAGTGTCTCAACATCTCCATGGCTGCTTTGGAAAGATGTACAGAACTCTCCATTTCCATGTATGTTAAAGTATGAGTTTGTCGCATTTTATTCCAATTGTGCCGTCTTTGTCTTTCAGTATGAAAATCCGTGGACAATCCCAAATATGCTGTCAATGACAAGAATTGGCTTGGCCCCCGTGTTGGGCTATCTGATCCTTGAGGAAGATTTTAATGTCGCACTAGGTGTTTTTGCTCTAGCTGGCCTAACGGATTTGGTAAGTTATGAATTCGTTTGCTTTTTGCTCCCTTCCATATCCTACATTTTCTATAACTCCCCTGGAGCGTAGACTCAGCTTTCCTGGAAGGACATCCTCAGCATGAGTGATCTAGTACTTTGTGTAAGGACTTGTCTTTAGCGTTCATGTGGAGCTGCTTTTATAAGATCCAGAAGATCTAGAAAAGATTATAAAGATCTGAAGTGTAAAGGTCGTGGAGAGCCCCAGGAGAGGGCAGTCTTTACCCTTTGTTTTTAACTTCTTCACGAAAGAAACACCCATAGGAATGTTCCAGAGCCGAGTGCTTGCTGTAGTGGTAGAATAAAGAGAAGTTCTGGGACTCTTGTGTCTACTCTGAAGGAAATAGTCTGGTCTGCAGGGAAGTGGAAGAGGATGTGGCCTGGGAGCTGGCGAAGGCCATGTTTGCTTAGAGGCTGTCATTCAGGAACACCTAGGACTGCTGTGCATTTAGGCCTAGGTCTGAGATGGGCATCCATCCTTTTTCCTACTTCCTCAGCAACTTCCTCAGCACATGGACAAGGAGGGGAGCTCTTTGACATCACACTGTCAGTTTAGGGAGTGTGCTACCAAGTTAGAATTGGGGAAACAGTTTTATGATAGAAGGCTCTACTGCTTTGGCTGACTAGCCACTGCCATCCATCGTATTTGACCTTTTCACAGAGGATTTGAAATGGCTTATAAAATTCCATGCCCACAAACACAGTTGGGAGAAGGACAGAGGAAAAACCTGAGATCGGAGCTTTTGAGCATGTGGAAATGGAAGCAATATTTCCTCACAGGGAAAGCTGGAGATGTGTTTGCACCTGGATAGGAGCAAATTATGTCTTCAACCCTATTTGTTTTTAACATTTTTGCTCAATAATTACTTAATGAGAGTAGAAAACTGATTTCCCAAAAGTAAAGGTTGTACAGCATTTTAAAAATGTTTGTTTTTCTTCTGTGGTTCATAGCCACAATACTTGCCTAGTAACTGTAGTGCTAGTGATCAATGTAGAACCAACTGGAGGTCTTGAAGGTGGACAGGGGAGCATTTGCATTGTCTTACGGGTTTCTGACTGTGCATCAGATACAGCCTTTCCCCTGAGCTCCTGCCTTTCTTTCAGATGGCAGTTCTCCTTTGTCCCCATCTGTTCACATTCTCCTCATCTCTCCCCCTTTCTGCAGTGCCTCTTCGTCCCCCTGAAGCCTAAGGTCTCTCCATTAGTTACTGGTGTGGTCTGAAAGTCTGTCCTAGAACATTAGACTAATAATGAAATAGTTTAGATAGTAAAGTTGGTTTTGTTTTTGTTTTCTTCCCCCCACCCCCCAGACATTGGAGTCACCTTTTATATTTGTTAATTTGTGGGATAGGGGATCAACTGTCACGTGAAATGGCTTTCATGAGTGAGACACCCCATTAATAAGTATGACGTGTATGGGAATCAGATTAACTGGTACCATATTGTGCACTTTTTCCATGGAGATTTGGATGCCTCCGCACTCACTGGTTTTAAGCAGGGGAATGGCAAGATCTGATTGTGTGGGAAGTAGGCTCTAGGCCAGCAAGAGTTGGAAGCCAAGCAGCTGGTGAGGAGGAAGTAGCTTAGACTGAGTTGGAGTTTGGAGTTAGAAGTGGATGGGTTTGGATAATGTTCTGAATAAAGTATTGATAAGTCGATATACTGGACAGGTTGGATGGGAGTAAAATAGTATCACCAAGGCACCCCCCCTTCCCACAAACCACCCCCATCTTCAAAATCAGATAGTTGGTGGTAACACTGGGGGATGGAGAACCTTTGAGACAGGACAGGGTTTAGGGGAAAACAACTGAGCTCCTGATATCTCTTGCTTCAGGTTGAGTGTGGCAGTGTAGAGCAGAAGAGGACAGATTGGGAGCTGACTAATCAGATCTAAGTGAGATCTAATCAGTCCAGTAAGTGAAATGGAGAAGTGGACAATTAGTAAAGGACCAGAAGCCTGGCAAGGGTGTTAGAGATAGTGAGAAAGGAAGATTGGGCAGTGCATGTCCCAGAGAGTAAGTGACAGAAGTGCTGCTTTTGTGTGGAGGTCACGTGATCTGGAAATGCAGAACACATTGGTGGTCTGCATGAGAACTTTCTAGAGGTGTGAGGATGATTGACCTAAGTTGATAAGTACATGAGGGATGGTAATGGCTGGCACTGCTTTTAAGAAGATTTTGCTTTGTAGGAGAATAGAGAAAGAGGGCCATGGGAGGGTTGTTTTAAAGACAGGTGTGCTGAGGAATATTTTCCATTAGCTGAGTAATAAAATGAAGGATGGGATTTGAGTAGGGAACACAGAGGATGAGTGCAGCTGAGCAGTGTATTAGGTGCAACATAGGGAAGTACCAGTTGTCTTTTTACTGTTTTCTTCTAGGAAAGTGTAGACATAGCCGTGGGCCAGAATGAGAGCATTTAGTAGGAACGAAGTAGGTCAGGGGTAAAAGCATAAGAGAAGATAATACAGTCAATAGACACAGCTAGGCGTTGAGGGTCCACAGAAGGCTTATGTCCTGAATTCGTGAGATCGTCAGCCCATTTATGTATTTTTTGGAGCGGTGTTTAGCCACTTGCATGCAGGCCTGAAGTGCATGGTGGTGGTATTATGGGAGGAATGAAGTGCAGTGAAAGGAGTTGTACTTGTTTGCAAAGGAATGAGGTGGGTTAGAGGAACAGTGAAGACAGGAGAGTAATAATGGCCACAGTGGGAAGTGAAGGACAGAAACTGTACCCAAAGTGGCCCTTCAGGGCCTTAACTCCCCATTAGAGACACTTGGTTAATCAGCATTACCTCTAACCACTTAAGAAAGTAGCTGGGCATGGTGGTGCAGATCTCTAATCCCAGCACCAAAGGCAGGCTGATAGCTACAGGTTCTGGACCAATCAGGTCTACATGGTAGGTTCCAGGCTGCAGAGTTAAGAGAACCTGTCTTAAAATAAACAATAAATAACTAAAAATTACAGGGGAAGGGGTCAGGGAAGAAGACAGCTGATTGTTCTAGTTGCGACTGGAGTAGTTAGTAACTGCTTTTTTTTTTTTCTTTTTTTTTTTTTGTCGGAGCTGAGGACTGAACCCAGGGCCTTGTGCTTGCTAGGCAAACACTGAGCTAAATCCCCAACCCCTAGTAACTGCTTTTTTGAGGACTTGCTAAGAGACTGAACAAGTATCAATCATACTGTGCTGAAGGCAGCTAAGGCTTTGAGGTAGATGGTGTTGCCTGTTTCAAGCAGAAAGAAAGCCAGGTCAAACGCCTTGTTCAAAGTCATGCAGGAAGGAGGTGCAGAGCCGGGATTGCAGTCTGTTCTGCTGCTGTGTCTGTGTTGTTGCTGTGGGTTTTGTTTTGTTTTGCCTGGATTCATCCTCTGGCCTTCTGTGTGTCAGGTGAGTGCTCTGCCCTGAGCACTCAGGCCTAGACCAACTCCTTAGGCACTCCTGGGTGTGTCTTTCTCCGTTAACTTATTGGAATACTTGCAACATGGAGGACTTAGTATCTTTAAAAGGCATCAGGCTTAATTGCACATAAGTTAGTTTTATTGTTTTCTTAGAAATAAAAATGGAGATTTCAAACATTTGTTGAAGTATAGAGTTAAATAAAATAAGTGCTATACATTGGAGCCTAGGATGAACAAGGCAGATACTTCTGTCTTGTGTCATGTCACAGCACCTCTTTTTAACCCTTTTTGTGTCCCTGATGATGCAAGTCTGGCCCTTCTTGAGTTAGGCTGGAGATTCAGTTTTTATGGTAAAAAGCTTGGCAATCTAATGTGATCTAGGTTAAAATATTGTTTCTAATCAAAGTAAGTAATTAAAGAAGTAATGTGCTGGGTATGTTGGTGCACTCCTTTAATCCCAGCATTCATGAGTCAGAGGCAGGCAGACCTCTGTGGGTTCCAGGGCAGCCAGGGCTACATAGCAAAACCCTGTCTTGAAAAATGAAAAAAAAAAAAAAAAAAAAGTAGTTTAAGTATTAGCATTTTAACTAGGGTAGGTACAGAGGATTATGTTTTTGTTTCAAATATAGGTAATACATAGAACATTGAATTATTGAATTAATAGTAGTACTAAACAGTGTGTGTGTGTGTGTGTGTGTGTGTGTGACATATATTTATTACTTTTGTGTGTGTGTGTATGATGCAGGTCATCAAACCCAGGGCCTCACAGAAGCTAGTCAAGCACACTCTTCACTAAATACACTCTAGCTCTCTGAACAAAATACGTTTTAAAGTTAAAGAGAGATGGCTCAGCTATAAAGAGTGCTTCCTGCTCTACTATAGGACCTGAGTTTGAATCTCAGTACCCACATCAGACAGCTCCCAGCTGCTTGTAACTCCAGTTCCAGAGGATCTGACAGTCTCCTCTGGCCTCTGCAGACACACATATACACACACAGATACATGACTTACAGTTACACATACACATAAATTTAAAAACAAACCCCACAAGAGTCAGATAATACAGTAAAATAGATAGGGATGATGTAAAAGCTGAGTGTCTCACAGTTAAAAAGTAGTTCTTACATGCAATAGCAGCTGTTACAGCTCCAAACAGTAGGCTCCTTCTCCCAGCTCTGTCAGCCATGCCTTCTGGGAGTTTTGTGGGCTCTATATTTCTACGTTTATGTTTGGGTTCATCCCACATGAGCATGTTGTGAAAATAGTGAGAAGTCAGTAGGACCCCTTGAAGGAGAAGGAAATTTATCATTTAGGTAATTACTATTTTAAAAGCTAAAAGGAGTAAGAATGTTTGGGGATAAGAAATGAGATTTGGCTGGCATTATCTGAAAGCATAGTTGTTTTTCTGGTGTTTCTTAAGCTTCAAATTATCTATTCTGTTCCTATTATGATGTTTATTTAAAAAACACTTCTATTTTCAGTTGGATGGATTTATTGCTCGAAACTGGGCCAATCAAAAATCAGCTTTGGGAAGTGCTCTTGATCCACTTGCTGATAAAGTTCTTATCAGCATCTTATATGTTAGCTTGACCTATGCAGATCTTATTCCAGGTAAGAACACTCATGTGTACTTTCAATAATAGGGAAAAACAATGGTAGTGAGCTCAGGCCTTCTCTTGAGAGAAATAGTTTTTCTTCCAAAATATATTTTCAACTTTAAACTGTTTCCTCAATTTCAAATAAACTGTTTTGCTTGTCACACTGTTTATTGTAGAATTTGTGTCCTTGTTACACTAGGAGAAACAGTTTGTTTATGACTTTGTTTAAAATTAATTGAGGTAATAGTTCAGTACCGATTCATAACACTCCAGAATTTTTTGGTGATACATTATGTGTTTTTAGCACACAGATATTTGGAAGTAATTTAAAATCTTCATAAGTCGCTGATTTTTTTTCAATTTTTATTTTATGTATATGGTATGTATATTTTGCCTGCATGTATGTCTGTACACCACTTGGTATCTGGTGCCCACGGAAGGCAGAAGAGGGTGTCAGATCCTCTGGGACTGAAGATAGAGACAGTTGTGAGCCATCAATGTGGGTCCTGGAATCAAACTCAGGTCCTCTGGAAGAGCAGCCGGTGCTCTTAACCACTGAGCCATCTCTCCAGCCCCCAGGGTTATCCTTATTAAGTACAGTTTATTCATAATGGGAACTCTGATACTATGAAGATATCTGTAAATTTTGCTTCATTCATTTTTTTAAAAGATTTATTTATGTATTTATGTGAGTACTCTATTTGAATGTGTGCCTACATGATAGAAGAGAGCATCAGATCCCATTATAGATGGTTATGAGCCACCATATGGTTGCTGGAAATTGAACTGAGGACCTCTGGAAGAACAACCAGTGATCTTAACTACTGAGCCATCTCTCCAGCCCCCACATTATTCATTATTGTTCAGTTTCAGATCATATACACATATGCATTATCTGAATACTCTGAAACTTCATGGTCTCTTTCGTTATGTGTTGTCATGCCACTCTGGTTCTTTATTTTGTGCTTAGACTGTATTTCTCAAGTAGTTTTTCTTCCTCATCATCCCCCCCCCCCCCCCCCCCCCCCCCCCCCCCCCCCCCCCCCCCCCCCCCCCCCCCCCACCGAGAGTTAGAAGTGGGATTTGAGAACGGAAGCTGGTCCATTGTTGGTGTCTGGTAGAAGTGTAGTGGTGTCTCATTCTGGTCTTGTATTATTGTCCATTAGTGTCCATTGTTGGTGTCTGGTAGATGAAGTATCATGATGCTCATCCAGCTTGATGCTGGTTTTCTAAATGCTCAAGACATTAGTTATTAGTTATTGCTATTAATAAGTAATAACACATTGTTAGTTATTAGATATTCTTAGCTGTTTCCAGTGTGTATGATATTAGAATTAGCTTTTTCCAAAGGGAAAATAAAAATCTGTTGGGGATTTAATTGATTTGGTTACATGGAATGTATAGATCTCTTTGGAAAATTTGACATTTTTTACAAGTCTTCTTGGTCACAAATGCCATGTATCTATGTATTTAGGCCTTGTCTGATGTCTTTCAGAGTTTTTAATTTTCTCCAAGACAGTGATAAATTTTTGACAGATTTATTCTCAGGTATTTGATAGTTCTTAATGTTCTTGCCAGTGGAAGCGTTGAAGTGTTATGTGATGATCGCTGTTATGGATGTGACGACAGTTGGTTCTTTTCCGATGTTAACCTGTCTAATAAAGCTTTCTCCCTCTGACTCTGTTCAATTCTGCTGGCTCGTCTCCAGGCCCAGTATGCACGGTCTGTGGTTAATGACTATTTCTTTTCTCTCTCGGACTTCCTCACCGTACTGTGTCTCATGCTAAGCAGGAGCAAGCCTGACTCACCCCAGCTCGGACAAAGCTTTTACAACCACTTTGTGGGGTGATTCCTGTAGGGATTTGTAGATCCTCTTTACAAGTTAAGTAGTAGTTTTTCTTGGAGATTTCTTCCAAGTGTTTATTTTGATGGAGCACTGAGAACTCTTTCTTGGCATATTACTGGTCTAGCATTTTTCCCCCTTTAAGCTGCTATTACGAGGTGAGTTGCATTACAGTTTTTCTAGTGTTAAAACAACCTGTAGTCCTGGTGAAAATCCAGCTTGGCCAGGATACATTCTGGAGATATTGTTGGGCTTGGTTTTATTGAATATTTCTCACTCAGATTTAGCTTGGCCTACTTTTTTTGTGGGGGGTGTTTTTTTGTGATTTTTGCCCCCACCAGTGGCCTTGTACTTGGTAGGCATTATTATACCACTAAGCTAAATTCCCGAGCTGTAGCCTGGAATTTGTTTCTTGAAAAAATCTTTGTTGGTTTTTAAATTAACTTTACAAGTTATAATATAACGTTAATGGGTTTCATCATGGCATCTTCATACATAAGGTGTCATACACATTGTTCTCAGTCATCCCCCTCTTCGCCTCCAGTGGACCCTTTTCATCCTCTAGTTCCCTCTGCTTCCTGTTAGACATGTATGCCATGACCTGCTCGGCACCCACCTCGCTTAAGATCTTATTCTTAAGGATCTTCTTTCCAGCTTTATGACCTACAAAAACATAAGTACTCGCATACATGCACACACATGTACATTCATACATGTACATTTCTAAATTTAAGTTCTACATGAGAGAAAATGTGTGTTTTTGAGTCTGACTTTTTAGCTGAATAACGATTTCCAACCCATTTGCTGCAAATGTCATGACTTCCTTTTTCTTTTAACTGTGTGAAATTTTTGTTCATCCATTCATTTATGAGCATCGAGGCTGTTTCAATTTCCTGACTTTTTTGAATAGTGCAGCAGTAAACAGGCAGTTCCTGGAGTCCTTCTGCCGCGTACTCTAGTGGCGTAGCTGGGTTATATGGCAGTTCTGTTTTGTCTCTTGAGGAAGCTCCATACAGGTCTCTATAGTGGTTGCATTCCCATCATCAGGGAATAAGGGTTCCTCTTCCCCACATTCTCATCAGCATTTGCTGTCCTTTTTTTCTTGGCGTCAGCCATTCTCACTGGGCCCTGTTTTTAATACCAGTGCTGTAACTTGCCTTATCAAACAGGTCACTGACGTTTTTTCTTCAGTGCTTGAGTGGTATTCATGTGACATTACAGTTTTTCATCTTGAGTGTTTGATAGAATTTGTTGAAGCTGTTGAGAGTTTTGAAAGGTGATTAATTTTTTAATTGTTTCTTTAATTGTTCTAGGGTATCAGTTTAATAATTTATCTTTTGTGTATTTTGCAAGTTGTGATTTTTTCCCCTAGGAACTTATCTATTTTATTTATATTACTAAGAAGTTTGGGATTGGGGATTTAGCTCAGTGGTAGAGCGCTTGCCCTGGGTTCGGTCCTCAGCTCTGGAGGGGGGAAAAAATAAAAAAAGTTACACCAGGCCGCGGTGGCGCACACCTTTAATCCCAGCACTCGGGAGGCAGAGGCAGGCGGATCTCTGTGAGTTCGAGGTCAGCCTGGTCTACAGAGCGAGATCCAGGACAGGCACCAAAACTACACAGAGAAACCCTGTCTTGAACCACCCCCCCTCCCCCCCCCAAAAAAAACCCGAAAAGAAGTGACTTCTTCCTAGCACCTTTTTGTTGGTACTGTAGATATGTGGTGCACAGTAACGCCTCATTTTCAACTCGAGTCGTACATCCTTCTGTTTTTCTCTTGATTAGTCGCGTGTTGCCAGTTCTGTGACTCCTAATGAACCAAATCCGGGTTTGAAAAGACTCACTGATTATTTATGTCAGTAAATATGTCATCTCCTCCCTTTTTCTCTCTCTCTGCCTGTCTGGGCTTGCCTTGATCCCTTTTTATTTATCAGTTCTTCTAGTAGAAATAAAAAAGGTGCCATATGTAATGAAACATTTTTAGTAGCTATATTTAAAAAATAAATAGATTAAAATTTTGATGAGATACTTTATTTAACCCAGTAGATTAATGCCATTCTGCTGGGCCAGTGAGATGACTGTGCAAGTAAGGTGCTGAGGAAGGAACCCGAGTTCAATCCTCTGGACCCCACAGTCAGTTCTCTGACCACCTGTGCAGCACATGTGCACCCCACCCACGTGCTCACACACTAGATAAGTCTTTTCAATGTGATTCAGAAAATGACTCTAGCATATAATCAATAAGAAATGACCAAACTGAAGTATAAAACTTCAAAATGGAGTGTTTCTCTCCATTTACTGTACCTGTCTATTTGATAAGCCACCCTTAGGTACTTGATAGTGCTCCTGGCTGTGTGTGTGGACAGCACAGCCTGGAGATGGGCACATTGCTCATTGCTTTCTAGCTCTTGTGAGGTTTCCATGTGACTGTATTTTCCGTATATATCACTTTCACAGCATTTTGTGTGTTAGTGTTTTTGTCATTGTCCGAGACAGAATATTTTCTTGATAGTTTTTTTTCTGTCTTGTCTGTCTAATAACTATTTCTTAGGTTGGGGTGTGGCTCAGGGTCAAAACATTTCTCTAGTATGCACAAGGCCCTGTGTTCAATCCCCACTACAACCAAGATAACAATGTGTTTTAGTTGTCAGTTTGTATGTATTCTGTAGGTGTCTTTTGTTAATGATTGAAAGCTTTACTGCATGTTCAGAGACTATGCTCTATGACTTTAGTCTTCCAACCTGTATCCAATCAGATTTTATAAACATGTGCTTCAGTGAATGGATATGCTGCAGTCCTGTGTTGTGATGTTCTCTGTGGAAGCTCAGTAAGTGTAGTTTTGAGTCTTGTTGAAAGGTTCACATCTTCACTCCCTGCCCCCCTGCCTTTGGTCCTCTTGTCAGTGACTGAGAGATGAGGTTAAAGTTTCTGTGTCTTGTTTACTCATCTCCCCTCCACTTCTAATTTTGCTTCTTTTTTTTTTTTTTTTTAAATCATGCTGTTAAGAGCGCATAAGTTGGAATTGTATATTAATGACAAATAGAGTATTATTTTATTTGGAAGTGGCCCACCAGGTGGTTGCAGGCAGTAAAATGACTCTAGAGTACTTCCAGGTCCTGGTGCTGGGATGACTCCAGAGTACTGCCAGGTCCTGGTGCTGGGATGACTCCAGAGCATTGCCAGGTCCTGGTGCTGGGATGACTCCAGAGTACTGCCAGGTCCTGGTGCTGGGATGACTCCAGAGCATTGCCAGGTCCTGGTGCTGGGATGACTCCAGAGCATTGCCCAAGTCTGCATTCCATAGACCTCATCCCTGCTCGGGTTCCTTCACAGTTACCGATTTTGATTTGCAGAGGTTAGCTGCACTTTAAATTGTGGTTATTGTTAATTTATCAGCTAATGCTTACTGTAGAAGTATTTGATTAATCATTAAGAAAGTGCATCTAAAAATATGGTTCATGTGGTTAATAGTAGACTGGCTACTAGAGTCACATGCTCTGCTAGACACATTTTCTCTTTGAAACAGCACTGTCGTGGAGGGTGAGAGCAAGGCAAATTCCGTTTAATTTGTAGTTGCAGGTGCAGAGCCAATAGAATGTCAGAACTGGAGAGGACCCTAAACACAGCCTCAGATTACCTTTGAGCTGTTTGAAAATACCACAAAAAGGATATCTGAAGTATGATTTGAATTCAGGATTTTTCCCATTAAGTTTATTTTGTAGAAGATACAGAATTGTGGTTTAAACTTTGTATGGTACAGAAGGCTGTAAAATGAAGTAAGTTCCCTGTCCTCCCATCTAAAATATCCTCCTGTTGGCTATGGCCCTGGGACCATGCTGGAAAACCTGAGGAATATGAGTTGAGTATCCCCAGTGACAAACAGCTTGGGGTTTTGGATTGTTTGGTGATTAGTAATGCTCAGCTGGCAATGTGCTAATATTCCAAAATCCAAGAAACTGAAATCTGAAACATCTCTTGACCAAGCACATTGGATAAGGGAGACTCAGCCTATGATAAGAATTGATTGCCAGGCTGGGCCGAGAGAAGAATAAGTGTTATGTGGGTAGGAACTAGCACAGCAAGAGTGAAAATATTCTTGTATTTCTGTATGTAAACTGTGTGTGTAAACGCTCTTTAGGAAATAAACTAAAATTCAGATACAAGGAATCCTGAGACTTCAAGATATTTTAACTTCTCTTACACTCCCGTTTAACCTCCTTATCATTACTTTTCACTGGATTCCAGTGAGCATGATATCATTTTCCCGGGACAAAGCTGAGAAGAGTGGGGTGTGAAGAGGCTGGGTGTAGCTCACACTAGTATGTACAGATTTGCAGTTTATAGGCAGCCACACGAGAGAACAGAAGTAGTGAGTGGATCAGAATTCTGGAGGCAGATTAGTCACAGAGCCACAGTCTGCAGGTCATTCTGATTACAAGAAGGAATAAAAAGACCAGGGCTTCACTGTAGGGCCTGAATCATCAATAAGTATTTATCACAAAGTTTTTACTTACTTATGGAAAGCATCAATTAGTGTGAGGCTGAATGGGCTTTTCTGCAGTCATAGTATCTGTTTGTAATTTTCAGACTCCTCATTACTGATTTTTGTATTTGATTTTCAGTCCCACTCACTTACATGATAATTTCAAGAGATGTAATGTTGATCGCTGCGGTGTTTTATGTCAGATACCGAACTCTGCCAACACCGGTAAGTTTCACAAAATAGTCCTTCACATTACTTATAAATATTTTCTCTGTTGAATGCAACCTCACTTTCTGAGAGTAATTTGAACACACTAGTAGTGTGTTTTAAAAGCTGGATTTCTGCCTGGGCGTGGTGACACATGCTTTTTATCTCAGCATTCCAGAGGGAGAAGCAAGTAGATCTCCATGAGGTTGAGACTAGTCTGGGGTCTATAGGACTGCAATCAGATTCCTAATCTCAAAAAAACAAAACAAACAAAAACAAAAAGTGATTTCTATTAAGTTCAGCTTTTCAGTTGATGGTATATGAAACCTGGGACAGCTAACCAGGCCCCAAGCACCTCACTCTTAGAGACGTTTCTAGCTTCAAGCTATGTATTTTTCATTTAGCCTCACCATGGATGATTTAGAAGTTATTTTTTAAATCAGTCATAGAAGAATGGAATGATTTGCTACATACTAGTTCACTGTTTCTATAAATATTTGAGTATATAAGTATAGCATTGTCTTTTTTGATTCTCAGAAAAAATAGAGAGATATTTTATTTATTTTGTTTTAACCTGTAAAAGAGAATAACATAAGTTTCTTTGGGGAAAATATATGATGAAGCAAACTTTGTTAGAGCAATTGTATGCAATGTTGTAGAACTTGACAGATCTATATTTTGAAGAATTTTATTTTCAATAGCCTAGAATGATTAGCAAGGTATGTAAGTAGTGCTTATTTAACATGATAAGGAAGATGCCTATACATTGGGGCTAGTCATAGGGTAAACACTGGTAACTTTTGTTTGAAACCTGAACGATGAATTGAAACTTTTTTTTTCTTTTGGCAGCGAACACTAGCTAAGTACTTCAATCCTTGCTATGCTACTGCTAGGTTAAAACCCACATTCATCAGCAAGGTAAGAGACTCGTAGCAGCCTTTCAAAGAAGTCGGTCCTTCATGAACTTTTATTAGACTGGAGTGAATATAAAAGTCTCAGGGGCAGCTTAGAACGAAAGCATTCTTAACCATTTGTGTGGGAGTGTGTACACGCACATGTGTGGAAGGTAGAGGCATCTTGTGGGGGTCAGTTCTCTCTTTCCATCTTGTTGGTCTTGGGAATTGAACTCAGGTTGTCAGGCTTGGTTACAGGCACTTTTGATTGCTAGTCATCTTAACCAACTTGAATGAGACGAATTTAAATGTGTTGACTAGAAGGACTAGAAGAGGGGTCAGACAGACAATGTCAAGTTGATTCTTCTGTCATCTAAACTGGTTTAGATCTGTAGTGTATGCAGTTTGTCTTTGTCGATGGGCTAAGAATTAAACCTTGAATGAGATCATAGGGTAGGTAAAAAGTGAGATGTAGTGCTTCTTGAGGTGCAAGATTTCAATGAAGAGTCTCATGCTTTTCCTGTCTTCCTGTAGTCAGAACATCATATCTAAGACCTTTTCATTTGTTCATTCATTCATTCATTCATTCATTTTAATTGCAGGTGCCTATATGTAGTATGTGAGTGTGTGTGTGTGTCTGTGTGTGTGTGTGTCTGTGTGTGTGTGTGTGTGTGTGTGTGTGTGTGTGTAGGCTGGCGTAGGTAGTCTTCCTCTCGCTCTCTACAATTAATGATTGAGGCAGCTCTCGGCTGAACCTGGAGCTTGCCTTAGCTCTAGGGATCTCCTGTCTCTTTACCCTGCTGAGCTATTTCTCTAGCCCCAACCCTTTTATTTTTAAGTGTTAGATGAAAAGGGACTAAACAGTTTACTCTAAATTGTCAATGTGTTTTGTTAAGTCTTTTTCAGGATCATAAATGTACATCACCCTTTGCACAGAAAAAAAGACATTAATGTCTTGATAACTTCACTTAAGTCATCCTTCCATTCTATTTCTTGTGACAGATGTAACAGATTAGATGTCCTTGGGACAGAGGGACCATTGTCTTTGTACAGGCACAGACTATTACAACATACAGGGAGCTTTTAGCTTCCTGTGACTTTATTTGTGTGAAGGGCAGCAATTGTATATAGCACTTCATAGAAAATCACTTGGAGTGCTGGGACAAACGCACCAATAAACGCTTGTTCTTATAGGAAGTTTCTCAGATGGAATGTGTTGTTTATTTTAAAAATCACACTGTGATCACTGTCATTTGACTGCAGAATGAATAATAGGACCAAGGTGCGTCTCTGTACACCTTCCTTAACTGCATCATACCCAGATTGTTTCATAGAATGTCATCTTAGACTGTTTCTGGTTCTGTTTTGTGCTGTTGAGGATAGGTAGTACTTATTTCCCAGAGGAATCATGAAATCATGGCAGTGAATGCATTTTGGTTTTCTGACCTCATAGGGTGTGGCAGGCGGCACGTAAAGTGGCCTTGGAAGTCTGGGTTCTGGGTTTGGCTCTGGTGCTTACTGTGAGCCTCTCACCCAGGGAGAAGCCACTTCATTATTTCTTGTTTACAGAGCTGTTTGAATGGATAGCTAGGAACTACGGCAAAGAATTTAGTAAGAATTGTATAGCATCATTGAATTGCTGTGGGATTCAAGATGTGGTACTTTCTGATGGTTGTCACTACCCTTGTAAATAAAGCTGTGTAGGCAGATAGGTCAGTTGGTGACTCTGACCTGTTAGGTGTTCTCACCTGGGAATGCCAACTTTGGCATGGATAATGCTGTTCAATCCAGAATGCTTAGAGTGTGTCACAATGAGTATACCTTTGCCTCAAAAGCTTAAAACAGAACCCATTTGACACTGTTCATTCATAATGCCTTTATTTTTAAGGTAAATACAGCAGTCCAGTTAATTTTGGTGGCAGCTTCTTTGGCAGCTCCAGTTTTCAATTATGCTGACAGCATTTATCTTCAGATACTGTGGTAAGCTATATTTAGAATTACTTTGAGAATATCAGTACAGTGGCCTTGTATTGTGACAATCCTAGAATGACTTTGTTCTTAAAGTGTTTAATGAACAGTAGGTAGACAAAGCTCTGACCATCCCCTGTTCCCTTCTTTCTATTCTTCTACTACTTCTCCTGATTTTATTTGCTGTCTTTTTTCTTTGTAAATACTCATGAGTCCACTTAGTGCTGCTTGTATGTACTAGGGCATAGGTAACCCCTAAGGAGCCGTATCTCTGAAGAAAACCAATTCTCCTTCCCCCAACAGCCATTAGTTGCCAATAGCTTCTCAAAAAGGGGTAGAACTTCATGAGTCCCAGCTGTATTCATGCAGAGATTGTAGCTGGCTTGCGCTGGCCTTATGCATGTGTACAGTCATAGCCACTGTAAGTTCATGTGTGTAGTGTCACCATCATGTCCAATAAATACTATTTTGTTGCAAATGCCCACTACCTCTGGCTCTTAAACTTTTCCCCTGCTTTTTGCATGATGATCCCTGAGCCATGGTGTTAGGGAGTGTGATGTAGCTCTTCTATTTGCAGTTGGGCACTCAACAGTCTCTCAGAAGCAAGTTTTTCCCAGCTTGAACCCTGAAAGCTACAATAGCAAGTGTTTGCAGTAGTGGCACAAATAGTTATGGGAATAACCAATCACGTTCTGATTGGATTTAAAACCTACTCCACAAGATAGAACTAAAGCCTGCGTCCATTAACAGCACCCCCAGACCAGTGGCTGGCTAAGTCATAGATCCTAGGAGAGAACTTAATACTATCATTCTGCTAAACAGAGATAGTAATGAGTTGCCTCTAGGTTCCTATTTTTATACCCATATGTTAGTGCATCTCCCGGTCGTCACCAGAGAAGCCTCTTTTTATAGTACAGGAGGATTAACACAACTGGCCAGTGTGCGCTGTCATTCTTAACCTTACTCTCAGGCCTGGAGCATAGAAGTTAGCAGTCACAACTTGGAGGAATGAGAAGTATTGCCAGTGTGTTAAGAGTTTTAGAGGAAGAAAAAGTAATAAGAAGTAGCATTTGAGCCATAAATACAGGTGAACAGGGCCCTCAGCAGACATTCTGAACAGTGATGTTGAGGATCCAGGCTAGTGGGGGCACACATAGTGAAAGCACTTTGATTCTTTTTTTTTTTTTTTTTTTTTTTTGGTTTTTCGAGACAGGGTTTCTCTGTGTAGCTTTGTGCCTTTCCTGGAACTCACTTGGTAGCCCAGGCTGGCCTCGAACTCACAGAGATCTGCCTGTCTCTGCCTCCCGAGTGCTGGGATTAAAGGCGTGCGCTACCACCACCCGGCTAGCACTTTGAATCTTGAGCTAATTACTATTGTGGGGTAATCTTTTTGCACACTGTAAAGATGTGTCATTGTTATTGGTTTAATAAAGAGCTGAATGGCCAATAGCTAGGAGAGGATAGGCGGGACTTCTGAGGAAAGAGGAACTCTGGGAAAAAGAGGGTGGATTTACCAGCCTGACATGGAGTTGGATGTAGCAGGAATCTTAACAGGTCTTATTAATAAAATCAAACCTGGAGCCAGGTATTGGGTGAAGCTGGAAGATCAGAGAAGCAGAACAAGCCACAGCTACCTCACCTCGCCAATTCCTCAGCTGATCCTGTTTCCTCAGACTGGAAACCTCTGAGTCCTCATCCAGAATGAATCTCAGCTGAACTGCTGCTCAAAAGCCTGAAAGCTTAACCAGCCAAATGCTTCTAGTTTCTGGTCTTCGCACCTTATGTATCTTTCTGCCTTCTACCATCACTCCCTGGGATTAAAGGCTCACTTTCTGGGATTAAAGGTGTGAGTCACCATGCCTGCCTGTTTCCAATGTGGCCTTTAACTCACAGAGATCCAGAGGGATTTCTGCCTCTGGAATGCTAGGATTAAAGGCGTGTGCTACCACTGCCTAACCTCTATGTTTAATATTGTGGCTGTTCTGTCTCTGACCCCAGATAAGTTTGTTAGAGTGCACAATATTTCAGGGAACACAGTACCACCACAGTTGGACATACAGAATGGCAGAACGTAGATTAATAGAAATGGGTTAATTTAAGTTATAAGAACTAGTTGGAGATCAAGCCTAAGCTAAGGTTAAGCTTTTATAATTAATAAGTTACTCTGTCATTATTTGTGGGCTGGTAGTCTAAAGAAAGTCCTATGAAAAAGCTTGATACAAATTACTCATTTGTAAATGTCTTAAAATGTGTCAAAATCAAACTTTTAAGCATTCCAAATAGGCTGCCATGTTGATTTGTATTTTGATAAACTTTTAATTGTAATTAAAACATGCTTTAGCAGTCTGAACAAATGTGGTTGGTAAATCAAAGTGAATTATACTAAAGACTTTTAAAAATGATACAGTTTGAACTTTATTTTCTTGCATAAAATGAAGGTTCCCCCCCCTTGGTGTTTTGGTTCTTCAATGGAAGTTTTCTTTCTTTCAAATTGCATCCATATGTAACCAGATTCTCCTGTTTTTGCTTTAAGGTAGTGCATGACGTTAGATCTGTCCCAAGCAGTCTAAGTAGGAGCTCTATAGATTTCTGCCGTGTTTCTCCGATCTTTTTACAGTTGTCTCCATTTCTGTACAAATTTGGTTTTGTGGAGAAAAATGAGAACATAGAGTTGTGGTCAGAAAAACAGTTGCTAGCACTGCTAGTCTGTAGGCTGTGGTAATTAGATGACTTTGATTTGGCATCACCAATTCAAATGAAGTCTTTATTAAAGGAAGTCATGGATTTAGATTTCTGTAGTTAGACAGTTCTGTCACACAGTTCTATTTTCTTAGTCCATCTTTGACGTGTGTACTTTATGATTTCTGCTGTTAGTGCTTTTAGAATTGACAGCTGAGTCCCATTTCTCTCCAAGGTGTTGTACAGCCTTCACTACAGCTGCGTCAGCATACAGTTATTATCACTATGGTCGGAAAACTGTTCAGGTGATAAAGGGCAAATGAGAGGCATCCGGCTCCAGCAGCAAGGAAGCGACTTGCATCATCGGCAGCAGCGCCAGCGAAAGCTACAGGACTTTGCCCATCTTGGTGTTCAGCTTGTGAAAGGACTTGTCAGGCAGACCATGTCTCAAACCGAAGGAATGTACGTCGAAAAGAAGCTCTATCATGGGCCTACGCAGAATTTCCAGTGTATTTTTAAATACAAATAAAACTATAATGTAGAATTTTTAATCTTAGGTTTTTGATTAATTTGTGAGATGAATTATTCTAGTTATTGTCTTTTTTTTAAATGTTTTTAAAAAACATAATTGATAGTATTGAAACAGGAAAGCAGGAGGGATTTCCTGAGATTAGATATATACCCTACACAGTGTGGCTATGCATTTTTACGTTTGAATTTTAAATCTATAGACACATTAACAATTCATGTGGTGAATACCTGACCGTTTGAAAAGGTGAGAATAAACTTTGCGGGGTAGGGTGAAGGTGTAAAGAGCCTTAAAATGCCATAAGTTTTGAAAATAAAAAGATCAAATAAAATAGATGGTATTGAAGTTTATCAGTAGTCTTCCAGCCTCTCAGGTACCAAATAGTTTATGTATTAGGAAAACAGGTAACATGGGAGTCAGAATGGAACACGTAATGGCTTTGCATCTAAAAGGCCAAGAATTACGTCATGCCTCCCCACTATTTCTAATGTGATGTTTGTATGATATTGCAACCTGTACTTATATGTCATGTAAATAATATAAAACTTTATATTTTTCAAAGTCTTTTTTTTTTAAAGCTTTGGGGAGTCTTCTATTGTTAACTCAATAAAAAAATAAAAGAGCTTGGAAAAACGTGCCTTCTTTCCACTTGGGTTGTTTCGTGGTTTGTCTTTGTGCAGCTGCATAGTTTCCCAATCTATGCAGTACACTTAGATGCAGCACTTCCCCCTCACATGGTGAACAAAACTGGTTCAGGACCATCTGACTTTAAAGACCCACCACACCCTGTGTTTAGGGTGCAGCTAGGGTCAGGAAGCTGGGGTTCCTTCACATACTGGAGGCCTTTGGTGGCCCTTTCTCCTTAGCTTTAACCTGTGTATAATGTGGAACCATACATTAAGACTCTCCTGTGGGGATATACTGAGTACCCTAATAAACTTGCCCGAGGATCAGAGACGTAGAGGTCAGGCAGTGGTGGCACACACCTTTAATCCCAGCACTTGAAATCTCATACCTTTGCTTGGGAAGGACACATGCCTTTAATCCCAGGAAGTAATATGGCAGGGCAGAGAGAGGTATATAAGGTGTGAGGAAACAGGAACTTTCTTTAGGCTGAGGATTTCAAAGAGGCGAGAACTAGTGGCTGGTTGTTCTGTTTCTCTGATCTTTCAGCTTCACCCTGATATTTGGCTCTGGGTTTTTTATTAAAAGACCATCTAAGATTCAAACAACACTCTCCAGTCAGTTTGTTGAGCTGTGTTAAAAAATAGAAGTTAAAGATAACTCAAGCTTCCTTGCATTTTGCATTGGTGCAACCCTCTGTTGCTGGTCCTGACTTCTCACATTCTCAAGCACCAGCTTATCCACTGTGGTAGTTTGAATGAGAATGCCCCAAATCTCAGATGTTTGAATATTACCATTTGGGAGAGATCTAGGGAGTGTGGTCTTGCTGGAAGAAGTATGTCACAGGGGTTTCAAAGCCATGTGCTATTCCCAGTTCACTTTCTGGTTTTTACTTGTGGTTCAAGATTTGAACTCTCAGCCCCAGGCCTGTGGCACGATAGCTCCACTCTACCAGGAGCCACCTGGGGATTCTAGCCCCTGGCAGAGATACCGCAAAGCAACAGCTCCAGGCCATGCCAGGTAGGCCTCACTCAAGTGCTGCCTGAGGGCCCTCGCCCCTGCCCGCAACACAGCAACAACTTTCTGTCATTCCATGCGGCTGGTGGGGCAGGACTCAACCACGAGCCACCCAAGGACTCTAGCTCCAGGCTGGGACATAGCCACAGCAACAGATCCAAGCCATGCCATGTGGCTGGCAGGGGCAGTAAGATGCTTTTATGGTGAGCGAATACAGTGTGGGGAGTTGGAAGAGAGGTGGAGCAAGCAGCTCATGGGCTGGGGAGAGGCAGTTCTGAAGAGGTGAGGGTGGTGAGGAACTGGCTGATGTGAAAGGCCTGGTTGCCACCTGTGTCCAAGGTGATGTCTGGACATGTGCTATTGCCAAGGGCCATTCTTGGTCCAAAGCCCTGAAGCAGCTGAGCTGATGTCTGTGGCTCTTGTCGCCACTGAGGGCAGTGCAGAGGCCACTATTTGGGGCCAGATTGGTGTCCAAGAGCCATGCTGCCATGGGGCCATGTAAATGTGAGTGGTGTATACTGCCACCTGGGGCCATGGTGACATTGGGCCCAGGCTGCTGCTGAGGTCCATGTTTGGGTCCATGGCTCTACAGCAGCCAGGGTCTGAGTTAATGTCCATGGCCCATGTTATCACCAAAGGCCACAGGGATGCCTGGGGTCTGATCAGCCAAATGAGACTATGTTGTCCCAGGGCCGTGCTGCTACCAGGGCCATACTGATCCAGGTGGCTTGTGTTGCCACCTGAGCCAGGGCTACTGCTGAGGGTTACATCTGGGTCCATGGTCCTGCTGTGGCTGGGGTCTGTTGATGTCCATGGCCTGTGCCGCCATGGGGTTCGTAGGAACCAAGAGTGTTGAAATCTGAAGGTTGTGCTGAGCTGGCCCTGCCTCTCACTGGATACTGCCACAGGAGATCTAGCCCCTGCAATCAGGAAAGATGGCCCCACCTTCACCATGTGCATGCACCTCACCTGGGCAGCACACTAGAGCTGACCCTGTTGTCAGGAAGCAGGTGAACCAGTCCTGAGAGTGAGAACAGCAGAGCTGGCCCTGTCACCCCCTCGCCTGCCATGTGGTGGCATGGGTGAGGGAAAGATGCCTTCCTCCTCCCACCCCTTGCTGCCTGTGGTCAGTGAGAGGGCTGGATCACGAAAGATGGAGAACTAGCCTTGTCCCTCACTGACTGCAGCACACAAGTGGGACCTGCAGCACATGGGAGAGCAGGCCCTGCACCCGGCCTGTGCAGTACACTAGAGCTGACCCTGTTGGTGGTGGTGCAGGTGAGCCGGACCTGAGGGCATGAGAGCAGGAGAAATGACCCCTCCCCACCCCCACTCTGTGCCCCCTACAGCAATCAGAAGAGAGGGCCCTACACCTTTTGCCTGGGCAAGACAGCGGAGCTGGCCCTGGTGGTGTGACAATGGGTGAGCCAGACCCAAGGGCTTGAGAACAAAACTGGCCCCTCTCCTTGCTACAAGGCTGTGTTGGGTGGGCTGGTCAAGGCAGGGCTGGAGAGCTCACTTGGGTGGTGACAGTGGAGGGAAGCTGGTAGAGGGACCAGCCCAGCTACCCCCAGGCCCAGAACCAGGGCCATGAGTTGGCCCACCAGAACGTCCACCGTATCTATGAACTGTTGGAGCATGTGAAGGGGCCGAACCTTCGGATCCAAAACTGTAGGATCCCCAGGACAGAGGACAACAGGATATCCAATAGGAGCCCCGGTGAGAGCCCATGCTTGATAGCCAGAGGCCTTGAACCAGAGCGATGGCTCGTGGCAATGAAGGCTTGCAAGTGAAGGTGAAAGGACTTGGGGGGAACTGTGTGACTCAGTGGGCCACACACACTACAGCTTCCACCACCAGATGCTTTCTTTTTCCGAGTTTTTGTTTTTGTCTTGTTTTGTTGGTTTTGCTTTTGTTTGTTTGCTTGCTTTGGGTTTTGGTTTTTCTTTTAAATTTTGTTTTGTTTTGGGAGGGAGGTTGCAAGGGTGGATGTGGGGGGGATGGGCACAGGGACAGGGAGGTGGGTGGGATCGGGATGCATGATGTGAAATCTGCAAAGAATCAATAAAAAGTAAAAGGAAATTCTCAGCTTCCAGCTCCAACCGCCATGCCTACCTGCTGTCAACTTCTTGACCCCTCTGGAACCACAAGCTAAATAAATCCTTCCTTCTGTAAGTTGCCTTGGTCATGGAGTTTTGTCACAGTAATAGAAAAGTAGCGAATGTTGCCACCGTGGGTTTGGCACATACTAAACCCTACCACTGCATCACAGGGAAGAGAAGGGTGGGACAAGGCTGGCGGTTGCCCCCTCCTCAGCTCTCCCATACAGTTTCTAACGGAGCTGCTGACCCTGGAGACAGAGGGACTACTGGAGCACCCAGGACGGTGAGCCCACAGAAACGTCAAGAAAAAAGGTGGAAAAGCGCTTATGGAGGAGATTAGACCTTTATTCTGCTTTATTATGTTTGCTTAATTGTGGTTATTGTTGACCATAGTATCCTTAGTATGAGGGGTTTTGATCTAGCTCTGGTTTACACCTTTTCCATATCTACTCTTAAAAATAGTTCAAATGTCCTCACAATTTTTTTTATACTGAATTGTCAAAAAATACATTCTGTCCTTGGTTTGTTTGTTTGTTTTCCCGGTATTTTGAGACATGGTTTCTTTGTGTAGGCTTGGCTGCCCTAGAATTAGCTCTGTAGACCAGGCTGGACTCAAATTCACGGAGATCCACCTGCCTCTGCCTCCTGAGTGCTGGGATGAAAGGCGTGTGCTACCACTGCCCAGCATTGTGTTCATTTTTAAAATATGCTGGAATTGTATTTGGATGAGAATATTAGAGTATGCATTTGTGTATACAGATTGGCAAATTGACTCATTCTTGGGAGTAGGCTAAAAACATTGGGGCCATTTAATTGCTTGTCTTAGGACAACACCAACTCACATTTTTGGCTTTTGTAACTTTTTAAGGATATATATGATACAACTAGGGATATATTTTAGGATGTTGAAAACATGCTTGAATAGTTAGCCCCTCGGAAGTGTATAGTATAATTCATATTGGGGCCCAGCTAGAATCCTCCTTTCTGCAGTGTGGCATTTGTGCTACAGCCTGTTCTGGAGACGAGAGATGGATTCAGACAAGTTTTTTCTTACAATAGAAATAAGCGCTGTTTGTGGGTTCAACGTTCCCTCCTCTCCAAACTCTTGTAATCGCAACATTTGGAGAGAGGCAGAAGGGTCCCAAGTTTGAGGTCAGTAAGTGCTGCACAGTAAGACCTTGTCTAAGCACTAAAGTACACATTACTTTTGTCTATTGAGTCTTGAGTGAAATGTAGGAAGCCCTGCAAGCAAATAGTCTTTTCCCGTGTTTCACAGATGTTACCAGAAGGCCAGTTTTAGCTGTAAAGCTGGAGATACATGTTTTGACACACCCTGAAATGCAACTAATAAATTCAGAAGGCCTTAGGAAACCACCCGTAACTCTTCCTTGGCCACCCGCTCTTGGCTAACAGAACTCACTCGAAAATCAGGGACCACAAGGCGACTTGCACACAAGAAACTTAAGGATGGCATTTCCAAAAGTTGTATTATTCCTTGTTACAATTGCTTTCTTTCCCCCATCTCCTCGCATGCAGTACCCCAGTGGACACTGAGGGAGACACTGACTGCTGAAAACCCCAAGGGAACAACCCAGAAGGACAGGTGCCAGCAGGACTGTCGGGTGTGACCATCAGGTTACTGAGAACAGTTACAGAAGGAACAGAGAAGGAAGCGGCAGAGTGCTGTGCGTGCCTGAGGCACGCTGGCTTTGGGGAATGTGGAACTCGAGATTGTTTATAGGCACTAGATCACAATTTCTGCATGCAGATGTGGTTTGATTGGAGGAAAGAAGCTGGGATAATTGAAGGTCTGGAGTCTCAGCAGGTGGTCAAAGGCTGGTCTGTTGTTTAATTTGGTTGCTAGAGATCAATCCAAGGCCTCAAATGCGTCTGATTTTGATATTGGGGATAAACCCAAGGCCTTGCGCATGGGGAAGTCACTACCACTGAGTTACTTCCTCAGCCCTGGCCGGGTTTTTGAAGGCCACCAGGTTTGTGTCATAGAACTGCCTGTGTGGCTTCCAGCGCTGCCTCCAGAGACACACAGACAGCACCAGGGTGCTAACCAGTAACAGGGCACTGGAGATACACAGTCCCCAGAAGATGACTACCGAGCTGGGCTTGGTTGTGAAGGTGGCACATGACCTCTTCCAGCCTGAGGTCTGCTGCTGGCTCAGGCCAGCCCTGTTGGCTGCCAGTACACACACGTGGTAGGTAGTGCTTGGAGACAGCTTGTACAGGGGGTGCTGTCGTGCTGTAGCATAGATGTCCGCTACGGACTGGTTCCCAGATCCTCCTTCCGCCAAGTAGTTGATCTGGTACCAGAGCACCACTGAGTTGGGGGCACACCAGTGGATGAGCATTGACGTGTCAGTTATCTCTGAAACCCCCTGCAGCTTGGGAGGATCTGGGATGGTATCTTCCCCGCTCAGACCAGGGCAGCGGCATCTGAAGCGCCTCTGCAGCTCTGCACATGGGGTCTGCAGATGCCTGCAGGGGTGGTAATCACAAGAGACAGCCTCGCGAGGTGCTGCCACCTGATTCTGAGTCTCATCCTCCTCGCTGTCGTCATCTAACAGCAGGACTGGAATCTCATCCTGTGGAGGATGTGTGTGGGGAGCCTGGGTGGTGGCTGGTGTCCTCTGGTTCGTCCAAGATATGCTCCGGGGGTTTGGCGAAGTGGACAAGGGTCCAAGGTATTTGCTGAGCAGTGTGCCGGAGGCAAGTGAGATACTGGGCTCGAGGGTATGTGTGGCAATCTGCTCTGCCCCTGTGCCGGCTGCACCAGGCAGAGCCCTGGAGGGACTGTAAACTGTCAGAGAGTCAGGAGCGGACTGGGCAGTTTCCTCTGACGTATCACCATGCATCCATGCCCCTTGTGTAAGAGAAGCCACAGTGTGGGAGGGGACCTTGGTGATACTTTGTTGGCCTCCTCCAGGTTGAGTAGACAGGACTGTGTTCTGTCCAATGGAAGGCCCCTGTGTCCGTGGTGCAGAAACTGGATGATCAAAGTGAGGCAGGTTTGAAGCCGGGAGGGTGGTGCTTTGATCTGGCCTGCACACATCAGACAGCTGGCAGAGGGAGAGAGGGCCAGAGAAGGGGTCCTTGGATCCTAAAGCGGGCTCACACATGGTATCTGCTGCCCTGGAGGGAAAACCAATCATTAGGAGATCCTTGGTTTCAGGGTTTTAAATCCTCAATGTAGGGGTCCGCTCTGCTAACACATCTCTACCAAGTATCCTCTAGTGACATCACTTTATTGACCCAGGAAACCTTTGAAGGAAGTCCCTGTCATCCCTTCTGGGCAGAGAAGGAAACAGGAAAGAGATGCCAACTGCCCAAGATGCCATAGCTAGCAAATGGCGGAGCATAAACCTGGGAAACCTGTGCAGTAGGAACTGTAATCCCCAGAGAGTGTAACACAGTCATATCTGCAGTAGGAAGTGGAATGAAGCCAGCCTTTCTGCTTTAGCATGTGCTCTCAACATCTTTCTCAACAGCATAGTGAGACCTGACTGTCAAGGGATTTAGTGCATCTTAGAAAATAAAGCTCTTCTAAGCCAGGAGATACCATTAGAATTTGTTTCCTGCCCCCATGAGAAAGCTCTGTAAGCATACTGGGCTTAGGCTGAATGGCTAAGAGCAGAAAGCTAGGCTGTCTTGAGGGATCAAGGGGCCTAGTGGTTAAGAGCACAGATGTAGATGAAGATGGATACTGTCTCCTTCATCCAACAGCTGCATGAATTTATCAAGTACCTCACTTCTTTGGGCTCTATTCCCTTGTCTATAAAATGGAGAAATGGTATGGCTGATCTTGCTTTTCCTACAGGGCATGCAGACTACATTTCCCAGCCTCCTTTGCAGTTAGGTGTGTGTGTGGTCTGTCCACTAACTGTTGGCCAATGAATATGAGTAGAAATGGTGAGCACCATCTGGCAGCCTCATCCATTTAAAAGCTCCCAAGTCAGTTTTTCTATATTCTTTGCCCTTTCTGGCTGGCTAGAATAGAAGTAGAGCCTTCATCCTCCCCGCCCCCCCATCTGACTACATTGGGGTGAATGCCCACGTGGTCATATGGGCAAGACATAAGCTGGGATGGCTCCAGCTCTGGAAGGTTGATCCCACCTCACAGCCATCTGTTCAGTAAATGTGTTACCTGTGTACGACAGTTTTGTTTGCATCCACGAGAAGCCAAGCCAGCTCACAGTTGCAAGTGAGAGGGTTGCCAAAGAGGTTGACAGATAAGACCTGGGAGGAATTCACAATCCAAGGTCCAAAGGAACTCAAGTTGCAGCTGAAATGACACACACGTGTGCTCACGTGCACACACACACACACACACACACACACACACACACACACACACACAAGTCAGTTAACTAATGATTTTAGGTTCAGTTTGAACAATTAGGTTCACAATGTTCCCACAAGGGCTGGAGAGATGGCCCAGAGGTTAAGAGCACTGGTTGCTCTTCTAAAGGATCTGGGTTCAGTTCTCAGCACCCACATGGTTCCAGAGGATCTCACATCTTCTGGCTTCCATGGGTACTGCACATATGGTGCACAGACATACACACAAGCAAAGCAAACATACATATAAAATAATTATTTTATGTATATGAGTGCTCATCTGCATGTACGCCTTTACATTGGAAGAGGGCATCAGTTACCATGATAGATGGTTGTGAGCCACTGTGTGGTTGCTGAGAATTAAACTCAAGACTTGTGGAAGAGCAGCCAGTGCTTTTAAGTGCTGCGTCATCTCTCCAGCCCCCAATAATTAAACCTTAAAGAAAAAGAAACAAATGTTCCTAAGAGGCACAGTGGTATTGTGAGAAAACAATTCTGCTAGTGTTAGAACTTTGAGTAGAACCAAAATGAGTTTAGACCTCCTATTTTGTCAATCAAACTCAGTCATTATTAACTCATATTGAATAGAGAAAATACCCCCATGCCAAATGTTTTTATCAAAAGTCTGTGATATTGAACGTGTTAGTAAATACAAATCTCTCCATACACACAAAAACGGATAGTAAATACTATTGTTATAGAGCAGTGCTGGGGATTGAAACCAGGGTTTCACACATGCTAGGTAAGTGTTTTACCACCCTTAATCCAAAACTCTCAGTGAAACGCTTATCTCACCACTGGATAAGCCAAGAGACCCAGAGAATGCAGTGAGTCTAGGACAAAGATTATGTTGAACTCCAGGGAAGAAAGAGGGGAGAGCCTGGAGTGAGTTTGCCATTGCTGAGTATGGTGGAGTTGCTGTGGGATGTCCTGTATGCTGTGAATATATGTTGCTAGGATTGATTGATAAATAAAATGCTGATTGGCCAGTAGCCAGGCAGGAAGGATAGTGTAGGCGGGACAAGAGAGAGGAGAATGCTGGGTGAAAGAAGGCTGAGTCAGGAGACACTGCCAGCCGCCACAAGGAGAAACATGATGTAAGATGCCGGTAAGCCACGAGCCACATGGCAAGGTTTATAGAAATGGGTTAATTTAAGATATAAGAACAGATAGCAAGCAGCCTGCCACGGCCATACAGTTTATAAGTAATATAAGTCTCTGTGCGTTTACTTGAGGGACGCGAGTGGGAGAGATTTGTCCTGACCGTGGGCCAGGCAGGACCAGGAAAACTTCAGCTACATGGAGTATTTGTAAAAATGGCCACAGGTCCTCTCATCTCTGTAGGCTCACACCTTTGCAATGTGATTGCATCTCTCCCCATCCAAAGCTAGTCTGTACTTCTCTACCCTTTCAAACTTGGTGACTTACTTAGGCCAGGAGGATATTAGCAAATTGGATGTAGCCATAAATGAGAAAGCAGTTGAGTGCCAGAACTGGACCACAGCTGTTGGCACAATGCCAGTACTTATACAATGCCTTGCTCAGTGCACCAGTTAGCCCTTGTTAAGTGGAGGATGGCACCAAAACGTAGAAGCTTACAATTACCTTGTTTTCATTCACATGATTCTTGGGGTGGCTTGGTAGTTCCTGGTCTGGGCAGGCTCACCTGGGCCAGATGATGTAGGACTACATCATCTATAGAGAGCCTCAACTAGGTGTGGACCTCTCTCCATGCACATTTACCACCTGGGAGGTCAGCCTAGAGCATCACATGGTAGTCGGAGCTCCAAGAACAAGAGAAAACAAACTCCAACTCTCAACGCTTTCTCCTTTCTGTCTACATTTGCTAATACAGCACCCATTTCAAGTCACCAAGCTTCAAGCATCAAGCTTTTGATGATGCAGATGAGCAAGCACAGACAGGGATGGGGGACGGGAATGGGGCAGGGGAGAATTAGTCTAGGTATATTTATGGTTTCTCACACCTAACAATGGCAGATCCACTTTTGGCTCTCTCCTGTTTTTTCCTTCGAGTCTGACAGAATGTAGATAGAGTTTTCCTGCCTGGCCCACAGTCAGGACAAATCTCTCTAACCTGCCAGTCCCACAGCTGCTCAGACCCAACCAAGTAAACACAGAGACTTATATTGGTTACAAACTGTATGGCCGTGGCAGGCTTCTTGCTAACTGTTCTTACAGCTTAAATTAATCCATTTCCATTAATCTATACCTTGCCACATGGCTCGTGGCTTACCGGCATCTTCACATGCTGTTTGTCATCGTGACGGCTGGCAGTGTCTCTCTGACTCAGCCTTCCACTTCCCAGCTTTATTCTCCTCCTGTCCCACCTATACTTCCTGCCTGGCCACTGGCCAATCAGTGATTTATTTATTGACCAATCAGCAACACACTTGACATACAGACCATCCCACAGCATGTTTGACCTGGACTCTTCACACTTCCTGAGCTCCTTGACTCTTAGGTTTTACTTCCCTGCCCTTCACAGTTAACAAATTCACCATGGGCAACATGAGCTGCACAGAGCTATGGCTCACTCACGCCCTTCCTACAGAAGCCTCCCTTACCCAGCCTGATGGATCACTACCACTACCCGCTTTATAACACAGCATAGAGTGTGTGCCTCTGCTGTGGTTCATGATGGCTTGTGCTGGCCAGCCGTCATCTGCTTCCTATACTAAACTGTGGTCTTGTTGAAAGGTGGGGCCATATCATCATCATTACTGTCATGACTACCAACTTCAGCATCAGCAGCTTCACCACCACCATTATCATCATACAGTCATCATCACTACCACCATCATTACCATCATCACCTACACCAGTTAGTATTATCATTTGTGTGTGAGAGAGAGGGAGGGAGGGAGGATATGCATATTGATGCGCACGTGGGAATGTGTATCCATGTATGTGTTTGTGGGTGTCGGAGATTGACATCAGGATGTCCTCCTCAGTTGCCTTCCACCTTATTTTTTTTGAGACAGGGTCTCTGCACTGAGCCTGAAGCTTGCCGTTTAGCTGAGGCTGGCTGGCCGGCACACTGCAGGGCTTTACCTGCCTCTGCATCCCTATGCTGGTGTTACAGATGTGCACCACCATGCCTGGAGTGCTGAAGATTAGAACTCCATGCTTTCTATCATAGCAAGCACCTTTCTCCCTGAGCTACCTCTCTAGCCCCACCGTCCCCAGTTCTATAGACACCTCCTATACTCCAGAAACGGACTGAAGGGCTCCCATTTGCTTTTTTCAAGTGAAAAGCCCCAAAGGGAGTACCATTGTTGTAGTCCTCTTTCACTCTATATCATTTTCCAGTGTTTCATCCTTTTTACTTTGGATTTTTGTATTTTTATCAAGCCTAAAGGAGTCAGAGCCACAAAGTGTTTTCCCTCCACACCATGTGTGCTTAGTATCTGGTTACCAAACGAAGGAGAAGCATTCATTCCCAAGGAAAAATAGCTCCATCTTTGGCACCTGCTTTGGGCAAAAGAGAACTAAGAAAACCCACTCTTAGGCTCCCCTGGAATTGTGAGCCACGACACCACCTTTATCCACGATGTGGTAAGTCCTGTGGCCCCTCTAAGACACCATCTTCCTGGACTCTGAGAGGCAGGTATTCGTCCTCTGAAAAGCGCTAGCCCCCAGTGGGTCAGGGAACACAGAACCTCACCACAGAACTAAGGCTCAATGCTGCTACTTTAAATCTTTCACAAATGGCCAATGACACAGAACAGACTGTTAAATAACTGGGTATTTCAAACAGGGCTTAGGTTCAACAGAAACCATAAAGGCTGAGAGCACTGAGTAAGGGGCTGGCTGAGGTACCCAGATCCCAAAGAGAATTGCTCCACACCCTGTTCAAGACCAGGGAAGACAAGGAGTTTACTAACTCATTACCCAGCTCTGGACTTGATCAAAGAGGGGAGAAGAGACAGGACAGCACTTTGGAAGCTCCTCTAATCCCCATCCCTACCAAAACACGAGGGAGAAAAGAGGATGCTTCTATGTCAAATGACAAGTCCCCGATGTAGGACCCACTGACAAGAGGTGGCCTGGGGTCATCTTAAGTTCCACTACTCTGAGAAGTCAAGCCAATGGCTACTACTAGAATAAGAGGGACAACTCCAGATCCCACAGCATGGTAAACCTTCCTATCCTATCTCCTTCCCTCCAGCCTACTCATACCCTGGGATGGCATCATTGGGGAAAGGAGGGGGTTCCAGTGGAGAGAAGGCCCAGTGTCCTTGTCTCCTCATTGCTAGTTATTAAGCTGGGGATACTGTCTGGGACCTGCTTAAGACACCACAGGGAAGATGGGGGAGAACAGAGGCCCAGACAGGATTTGGAAGGGCAGTGGCAGAAACAGTAAGGACTGGCATGTCATATAAAATTCAATATAGTATAACGGGCAAAAATCAGTCCTGACTGAGCTGGGCTTAGAATCACTTACTTCTGGAACAGAAGGACTTGTAGACAAGGTGTGTCTTGAAAGATCTCTGTGTGGACAGAACTGAGTGCTGGGGATTCTTGACAATCCAGCTGCTGTAGATTGGGAGTCATCTTGAAAGTGTCTCCCTCCAGCGTCTTCAGCCTGGGCATCTTTCTCAGGTAGAGGGACTTGAGCTGTGGCAGGTTCCTGATCCACCCAGATTCAACTGAAATCAAAGGGAATTATCCATCACAGCAAGGCCCAAAACCCAGGGGCCAGGAAGAGCCATACAGAAGTGAGTGACAGGAGAGGTGACCGCTACAGCAGCTGGAAAGGCGCTTCCTCAGCTATGCCTAATCTTTTTTTTTTTACAAGTTGGCTAAAAACATAGAGAAGCATGGCTGACCCGAGGCCACAGAGCTGGAAGCCCTTCCCCGGGACTATTATCTCCAAGCCTGCTGCTGTCACAGCCTCAGGTTAAACTCCACGTGCCAAATAGCCAGACTTAGCTCGGATGCCTCCGAAGAGTGGAGAGCTTTCGGGGAACACAAGAAAGGAGGAGAGGGACACATGGCTGGAGGAGGTCCCAGGAACTCAATTTTGTTGTCTCCCAAAATATGGAGAACATTCCCCTTTCTGAATTTCTTGTTCTCTCTAGCCCCTTGCCGCCCTTCCTCAGACCACCGTGGTAAACAAGAGGTTCTAGACACATAAGAGTGTTTTTTTTAAAGAACAATAGAAGCATGCTCGTGAATCAGAGGCACCTCCCTCCTGCATCTTGTTGGAAGAACCCAACATCTGTAGAAACAACTGCGTGTTGCAGGGGAAATCAATGAATTCCTCTTTGGCACGCTTGGGGCAAAGCTCATGTATATGTTTATGAGCTCCAAAGCCAACTTCACCTCGCCATCTCACAGCTTTCATCCAGCCAGAAGTGTTGAGCCCTGCCGGTGGAATGCTTGGGCTGTGATTTGGGGACATTAGGCGCTAGATCTATGAGATTAGGTCTAACGTCATTCCACCATTCTGTGCCTTAGTTTCCTCTTCTGTAATCCGGTGATTGTCAGCAGTTCTGCGACTGTGTGGCACTTCGGGCACTTGGGTCCACGCATCTGGTTTCTGGGGCCACCTCTTGAAGAACGCAGCCCTGACCTCCACCCCCCAGAGGAGCATGTGTAGCCCTCACCCCGCTCTCACCTCGCTCCAGGCGCGTGCCGCTCAGGTCCAAGACCTCCAGCGCCGCCAGGGGCCCGCCGTCCTCCCCGGCGAACGCCTCCTGGGCGATGTGGTCCAGCTCGCTGCAGGAGAGGTTGAGAAGCTGCAGCGCCGGGAAGCGTGCGAAGGTCCGTGGCTGCAGCGCCTGCAGTGGGTTCCCGGCCAGCACCAGCGAGCGCATGTTGCGCTCCGGGGGCCCGGCGTCGGCGGGCAGCGCGGTCAGCAGGTTGTGGCTGAGGTCGAGCTCCCGCAGCCCGGCCGGCGTGCCGCGGCCCCAGTGCAGCGTGGAGATGCGGTTATGGTTCAGAGTGAGCACGCGTAGCTCCGGCAGGCGACCGAACTCAGGCCCCCCGAAGGCGCGCAGCAGGTTGTGGCTGCCGTCGAGGCTGCGCAGCGTGTGCGGCAGGCAGCTGGGCAAGCGCTCCAGGCTGAGGTTTGCCAGGGTCAGGGTCGTGGCTCCTGCAGCCGGGAGCCCCTGGCAGGGCGAGTCGGTGGCTTGGCTGTCGTGCATGTCCCGGGGTCCCTGATGAGTGAGTCGGAAGAGGGGGCCCGTCTCCTGGGAAAGTCCCGCCAGACTCTGGCTCCGCACCATCGGCAGTAGCAGCTGCAGCAGAAGCAGCGTCCAAGGCATGTCGAGTCTCTAGGGAAAGACCGCCCATGACTTCAGAAGAAGCCCCTGAACGGAAGGCAAAAGTGTGTCCCCTGGATGTTCCTGTAGAGTGTGCGTGTGTGTGTGTGTGTGTGTGTGTGTGAGAGAGAGAGAGAGAGAGAGAGAGAGAGAGAGAGACCCACCCCACCCCCATCTCCACCTCATACTTGTCAGTGAGCAGGTGGAGACCAGCTTTTCCCTCATCTCTGGTGCAGGACCCATGCACACTTGCTTGTCCTAGCAATGTCTTGGCTTTCCCAGCCTCCCGGAGGCTTCCCTCATCTTTCCACGCCTGACCTGACTCTTCCAGGGTCCCCCATGCTTCCTCTTCTATGAGTCTTTGAGAGAAGGCTGTTTGTTCTCTTTTTGTCTGCAACGCCCCCTCCCGCCCCCCCCCCCCCCGCTCCCCCCTGTTTAAGCGGCGGCGTCCTAATTGTGAATGCTCCCGGGTTAAACTTCAGCTGAGATTAAATGGGAGTCAAGAAAAATGTAGTCATACCTAGACTGGGCCCATTTTTCTCATTGGAAGTGCCCAGCCACTTCTTAGTTTGAGTAAATTAAGTTCTGGGATCCTTCTCTTGGAAGGGAGCTCAGGGTTGCCCTCAGAAGAAGACAGGAGCCCTAGACAGCTCCAAGACTTGGGACTCTTGGATCAAGCATTCCCTGGTCTCAGATGGGTTCTAAAAAGCCAGCACTGGAGGAGGGATGGCCCAGCCCCGCTAGCTGCGCTTCCACCCGCTCTGGTGGCTACGGGCTGACTTGGCAACGGCAAAGTGGCTTCTAAGCCGGCCCTGGGCATGAAGGTCACTGCCTGATAGCCCATGTTACTGTAGATTTCTGCCATGGCTCCCCACTGAACACCAATCTCTGAGTCACCATCAAGGCTCCAAGAGAAAGGCCTCCCTCTTGGTAGGAAGATAAAGCGATGAGAAAGTTGCTGGGACTTAAGGCCAGGAGTGAAGGTATCCGCAGTATGTCATACTTACCTGGAAGCTGTCCCTGTGGTGTGGCACCCCTTCACGGTCCTCAAACTTTTGACTATTGCAGGAACCAGTGACTTCTGAATGTGACTCTGAATGTCAGAGGGGAGACGGCTGGTTCCCCGCTGCCCCTCCTCCAGCCCCGTCCAGGAGGAGCCTGAGACACTCCAGCCCTGAAGCCCCTCCTTCTCCACCAAGACTTTCCTTGTTTTGATCTCACTTCTTCGCGCCTCGGGCCTTTCCCTGCATAGACCTGGCGCCCCACCCCCACCTGCAGCCCTCCTCCGATCCTCGGGCCTTTCCCTGCATAGACCTGGCGCCCCCACCCCCACCTGCAGCCCTCCTCCTATCCTTCCGGTCCTTGTCTTTCCTTACTTCACTTTCCCAAGCTTGAGAAAAGGAGCCAGCAGCAGCAAGGGCTGGTGCCCAGTGAGGCAGCCCTGTCACCTCCCAGGAATCCTATTCTCTCTTCTAGGTGATTCCTAATCTCCTGGGATAATTGGAGACGGAATGGTGAGCTGGGAGAGAAAGAAGCTGCCTTTCCCGAGGGAGGGGTGCTTTCCCAGAGTGGCTTGCAGAGATTCACAGGGAAGTGACCACAGACCTGCGCAAAGGAGTCTTCACGCTGGATCTAGCTCAAGCCATGTGCAAAAGCCCCCAAGACAAGTGATTGCTCTGAGACCCGGTTCAGTGACAACCTGTGTTTAATTCTGAGCAGTGAGAACAAATATAGAGACCAGAAATGCAGAAAGGACACTCCCGCCCCATGATGGATCCCAGTTATAAAAACCTGCAGGTCCCCCAGAGGACACGGTGACACAGGTTTTTTTTTGCAGCACCTGCTTGGAGCAGACAGTGCTGTTCTCCCAGGCCCGTGGGGAAGGTTGAGAACAGGCTGGGCTGTCAACCCCAATTCTTTGTATACAGATCCTGGGACCAGAGCTTCCTGTTTTTCCTCCAGTCACTGCTTATCTGGGCAGCTCTGAGTAGTCCCAGGAACCTTGCAAACTGGTCTGATGGGATTACTAGTCCCTGGCGGTTTCCTTTGAGGTCGCCTTCAAAGATGTGTGTTGCAGGGCCAGTTGAGGCCTTGCTGTTCAGAACATTCCTCCTGTGCCTAAGCGAGGTCAGGGGAGGTCTGCTCTGTGCTCGCCTCTGGGGAACTATCCAGGAGTCTGGGTCCTGGCCTCGGTGGTGATGGGACCGCTGCACCATGGGAAGAAGTGGAAGCAGAGAAAGATGGGAAAGGGAAGTGGCTGGAGGTTGACTCCTGAGGCCCAGCCATGAGCTCCTTAACCTCTGCTTGGCACAGAGCTGTATACCCAAGAATCAAAGCCTCAGATTTCTCTCAAAATTAAACATGCTCTGTCCACCCTGGTCAAGTCATTAGCTCCCTTGAAGCCAGCAGGGGAGTTCTGCTGGAGACACCAGATGGGAAGGAGCAGAGTCCACTGAGATGTAAGTACAAATAGACTGCTAGAAGGAAGGACCTTCGTATACCTGCAAGGACTGTAAACTATGTTAAGAAACCCTGTTGGGGACACTCCTCTGGGCCGTAGTGGGGAGGGGTAGGGAGAGCCCCTGGCCCTGAAGTCGTCACCCGGTACTCTCCTGGAGCTCAGATCCTCTTAACCAACCTAACCTAGCCCGCTGTGTTGCTTGCTGCCTGCCTAGGCTGATGTGCTGTTTACTCTCGGTCCTCCGGGGTGCTCTATTGCTTCAGCAGATAGGTTCCTGGTGCTATCCAATTGGGCCCCCATGCTGGGGAAACTGACGTCAGTCCCTGGATGGGTTTGTTTAGAATTTTTTATAGATTGGGTTAGCCTTGCCCTTGTATGGTGCTTTCTGCTTTCCATCATCACCCCCCCCCTCCACCCACCCACCTCCGTCCCCTACCTCCCACCCCCACCCCCCAACGCCCACTTTACAGTTAAGTACTTTCCATTGCTAGACCCCAGGTCCACAAGCATGCTCTCATTGAATCTTCCCAAGGCACTAACTACTATCCCGTGGTAAGGAAACTGTGGTTCCCAAGGTTGACTGGGCTCTGGAGCAGATTATGGGTGTGCTGTCTGTGTATTACTGTGTTTAGATCCCTTCAGCCGATTTTAGTATTTGATGCTGTTATCTTCCTTTTTAAGATAACCTTTCTTTGATATTTAGATAAATCCATATCACTTAAGATGCTGAAACATGTTGAAAATGTCCTTTTGTCAATGAGCAGACTTCTTGGGTATAGTAGGCTTAAAGATGACTACTGTATGGCACCTGTGGGCACCTCTCAGGGACACCGAAGAACTCTTTTTCAGTCCTTTCTCTTCTAGCACTTTTGGGAGCCTAGGAAAAGATGGCATAAATGTTTTACTCTACCAGAGAAGGATGCAAGAGTCCCGTGACAAAGTCCTGGAACCAAGAAGTATATGTTTTTCAAACCCCTGACACATCCTTCCCTCCATGTGGTACCTCCTGAACTACCCCTGGCTGGGGTGTCTCCCCTTTGATCAACCCAGTCTCTTAACAACCTCCTCTATCCCTTAAAGAAGGAGACCTTTAACTCAGGACTCAGGTGCAAGGAACTTAATGGAGAGATGATCTGAGGAAGCCCAGAGAGTCTGAGTTACGGTCATGAGCTGTGAGACTCTCCGAGAGATGTGTCTGTCAAGTGTTGAGGAAGTGCAGCATTTACCCCCAGCTTCTGTATCCTGCTGGTCCCAGGATTCTTCTCACTGCTGATGCAGCTCCCAGACATACCTGACTTTCCCTGAGCATGGATGGAGCCTCTCCAAGGAGGCTCACTTGCTGTGGGTTAGTGCCGAGAGCACCTGCCCTAGCTCCTTGCTCTAAGCTGTGTTAGATATCCTTCCTGGGTGCTCTTCCACAGGGGGTGCGGGCTGTGTGCCACAGATGACTGATAGAGTCCCTCCGTCTGTAAGACTGAATGTCCTGAGGACTAGCCACATTGACAGTCTTGCTAACTCCAGAGCACAGGCCAGAATCTGGCACTCAGGGGAAATGCTTGACAAATGAACGGGGAAAGGCCTGGCAGGATCATGGTGGACCCCAGGGCTGAGATGGTTAAGGAGAAGGTAGAGACTGGGGAGGGAGCTGAAGCAGAAATAGGAAACTGAGTCACCATGGGGCTGGATAGCTTGCTCAGTGGTTAAGAGCACTTACTGTTCCTGCAGAAGACCTGGATTTGGCTGCTAACACCCATATGATGATTCAAAACTCTAACTCCACTTCCAAGGGATCCAGTGCCGCCTTCTGAGCTTTTTGGGTTTCTGCATGCACAGGATGCACATACATACACTCAGGCACACATGCATACATATAGATTTAATATTTTTAATGAAATTTAAATCATCAAGGCTTTTGCAATCCCAGGTTTCCAACATATTTTAGGGCTTGGTAGGGAATTTCTCCTGAAAGATCACATGGTTAGAGTGTTAGAAACACATGGCCCCAGGGAAACAAACAGTCAGTAATTATACTTCTTCTTTGGTTGTGTGTAAAAATCAGGGCCAAAGATCATCGCTTTTAGAAAGGTCTTGACCATTTTGTCTGGCCCTACCCCCACCCTGTCCATTCTGAAGGTAGAAAACTGAGTTCCAGAGAGGGCAAAGGTTTGGCTGAGGTCACAGAGTTGTGGGTTTCTGGTTAATGAGGAAAAGGGTGACCCCACTCTCATAAATCCTTCCAGGCCATTTCTTCACAGTTCACTAGGTCTCTCCTGCTCTGGTGGAGGAGTGGGGGCCTGACCTGCCCTCACCTCCTGAATGCCAAGCATTGGGGAGAACTCTAGGCTTTTGACCTGTGCTGTTCTGTCCCATTCCCAGGAGTGTCAGAATATATACTTCAGATACAGGTTGCCCCCGAGATCTTCCAAGGGCCTCTCGTCTGGCTGTGTTCACAGCTCTAGCAGCCTGGGGGTTGATAGGGGCTGCCTAGGTGACTGGCCAGCCAATGGGTCAGCCTGGCTTCCCAGATGCCAGCGGACTCTGT